TACAAACATCTGTCACTCTCCGAGAGACAATTGCCTACAATCTTGAAAGAGGGGGGAAGTGTTACGTTACAGCAGTGGACGTGAGGAAAGCGTTCGATTCTGTCTGGATACAGGGTCTCATGTATATTCTTTACAAGCAGGGTATACATGGAAAAATGTGGAGAATTATCAATATATGGTATAATAATTACAGATGTGTCATCAGAATAGGAGATAAATTATCACAACCATTTAATGTATTACAGGGAGTCCATCAGGGCGGGGTCCTGTCGATGTACCTCTATATGCGATTCACATCTGGCCTATTGGAGGATCTAGCTGCTTCTGGACTAGGAGCTGGAATTGGGGACTTGAAGCTTACATGCCCAGCATATGCTGATGACATGACCCTGGTAGCTATAGATGCTAATAACATGCAAAAATTGCTGAATATTATATTTAACCATAGTAAAAAATGGAGATATAGGTACCACCCAAATAAAACACAAGTTCTTTACTTCCCACCCACGAATACTCATGAAACACAAAAGCCTAAGGAACTAACACTATCAGGGACTGTATTGGAAATAACCAATGTGTGTAAACATGTTGGAGTCGACTTGTCATCAACTGGAGATAATACACCATATGTCAATGAAAAATGTAGGACTGGACGCATGACAATGAATGCAGGGATTGGACTAGTATCCATGGACACTGTAAGGTATAATCCCCTTACTGCATCAAACATATATTGGAGTATTGTAGTGCCATCAGTGACATATGGAGTAGAAGCCATTGTTCTGACTGAAAAAGAAATGAATATCTATGAAAACACACATATTAAAATAGCGAAACAACTGCAGGGTCTTCCTATTAATACGGCAAACAGTGCATGTTTAGCACCATTAGGGTGGAATAATATTACAACTATAATCTTACAAAGAAAGCTCATGTTTTTATGGCAGTTACTCATGTTACCAGTGGATGTAGTCTATAAGAAAATTGCCATCATAAGAGTGTGTCAATGGTTGAACAGCACACTTACCCACAAAAAGAACAATTGTCATTCTCCTATCTGGGATATTCTTAACATAGCTGAAAGGTTCAACTTAATAGATCATGTAATGCAATGGCTTTTCTATGGAGTATCTGTCTCGAACTCACAGTGGAAAAGTATTGTTAAGGATGTGTTGCACAGACATGAGTTGGAAAAATGGAGGTCTAGTTGTATGATGTACAGGTCTCTCAGTACGTTCAGAAATGTTGTTAAGGTTATCAAACCCATTAAGTGGTGGATATTGGCAAAAAATGACCCATACCTAATTAGACCATGTATAACCCTGGTGAGACTTTTGTGTGGAAACTCATCACTCATTTGCGAAAAATATAAAGATAGTGAGACATGTCCACTTTGTCATAGGGCAGTGCAGACACTGCAACACTTATTATTTCACTGCCAGGCAGTTGAGCATTTAAGTCATCAATTAAATAATATTATTGAGAACAGTAACCTATATGGCACTGATTTAGAAAAGATAAGACTTATCCTGGACAGTAGTCAGTTTGGAGATAGGGACTGTCTATTAATATTGAGGACAATACATGCTATTTATGAAATGCACAGGGATGCATTAAAGCAATCATCAAACCCAAGGGGCATATAATTACATGTTCTGTACACCACCACCAACCTTTACTATCACTGTAAAATTGTAATATTATTTTATTTTACTTAATATATACCAGTATGTATTTGTATGATCAATTTATGGTCCAAATAAAGAAACATAAACATAATAGTCAAATTCTCCAAATTGAAACTTGCGCCTTAAATTCCGAATACTGTAAAAATTGTGATTTTGATAACTTGCGTAAAATTAATTTTTAAATTTTACAGATATTCAAATAGTATATTTTGAAAGTGCTACCTTTCTATTAGATTTACTGTCCTGGTAAAAAAATGTTTTTAGCCACATCAATTTTTTCTCATAGGGCATCAGTCTCTTTTGAAGGGGAATGTCAGGCACTGTTTCTTAAGTTATACTAAAAGTGGGTGTTTGATATTCTAGGGAATTTATTTCCTTTTGGGGTTTTGAACTCTAAAAGTTCCATTCTGTCAGTTATTTATTTTATTTTAGGGTACTTTACCCCTATGGTATTTGTGGTTACATATTTGCCAATTCAAAAAAAAAGATATTTAATTTTTTTTCAAAAATGTACAGAAAAAACTACCAGTAAATAGGCACCAACTCAATCATGTCACAATCTTTTTAAACATACATGTACTGACATAAAATGTTCAATTTCCAATAAACTGAAAACCAAAAATATCTGTTTTTAATAGACCTAGTAGAATATTTGATATACAAAATTCAATGGATTATTAATGCAGCTGTTGACTGTACTGTACTACACTGCAATAAATGTAACACTGTATATATTATATATAAAATAAATGATCTAGTTACCAAAATTAGTATTGTGCTATTTTTTAACATTTCAACATTTATTCAAATAACATTATTCAACATTATTACCACCTTGCAGGGCCTGTTCTAGGGGTTTTAGTACTAGTTGAGAAGGCATTTAAATTGCTATATTGACGTGAGCAATATTGTGTCGGGCGTTAATGACTTTAGTCGGGCAATAATGACATTATCCGCCCGGCTATGTTTCCCGGGAAAAGTGGTATCGTTCAGTGCTTAAGATTTTCTATTTCAAACTTGCTATTTCAGCCCTGGTCATTAACGGTGGTAATAATAGTAATGACGTCATTTCTGCGGGCAAAATAGTGAAATATTGGACCTTGGGCCTGCAGCCCTTGGTCCAATATTTCACTATATTGCCCTTTGAAATGACGTTATTGTACTATTATTTTGCAGAGCAAGACTATTAACTCCAAGAATTGCATTTTAAGTGACCTTGAGTATCCAAAATGTGACCTCTAACCTCAAACACTCAAAAATGACATTTAAAGTGACCTTGACCTATAATTGTAACATTCTACATACTTCACATTTAACATATTTGATTGTTAATATCCTAATAAACTTAAGCTTCAAATCCCGTAAGACCGCCCTTTCATTTAATAATGGAAAGTTCAGTTACTCGATGTGCTAACAGACACCAAATTCAAGGTATTCAGCCATATTACTGACAGTAACAAATAGATTTAAGTATATTCATATTTATTACAAAATATAAAACTGTTAAGTAGCATTTCATGTTTAATAGAGAAGTTTCGCACAACGGGTTACAGCTAAAATGAATCTGCAACCGCATTATTATTATTTATTTGAACTCAGGCCCGTAGCCAGGGGGTTCGCAGGGTTCGGGCAAGAAATTCTTTCAAAAGCATGCAGTTTTTCACCATTTTGAGCACTTCTTAACTGCTTTTAGCCATATTTGGGCCAAAATTGTCAAATGTGAACCCCCCCTGGAAATTATTGAAAACCGAGCCCCCCTTGGCAAATCCTGGAAGGCCTGGAACTGCTACACATACTGTATATCTGGTGAATGTGATACAAATTTTGAGCTAAAAACATTTTGCGAAACCTCTCTAATGATTGCACAATAGATTATCACACTATCATGGGCAGTATTTATACCATTGTAGCTGGACAAGGTTTTCAACCTTTGCCAGCCACAGGGGGAGTAAGGACCATGCTAGGGTAGACAGATTTATAACGTTTATAAAGTGCACATTTAAGCCAAATATAGTAAAGTCACAAATGGGGAATTGAATTTGAATCACTGTAAATCTGACAAATAACAATCCATTTGTAGATGTGCAACTTCACAATATTTTGACAAGCTGATCACCAAACAGGTTTTTCATTGGCTTTCCAAAAATGATCAAAATCACTAAGGAGTTGATTTAATCGTGAATATTTCCATCCATCGTCAAGCACACTGTAATTGCATGAATCGCCAGGAGTTGAATTTCACCAAAACTTTGACCAGCTTTCCTTATAAAATATAATTTTGAGAATATTTGATGGCAAAATTGGCATGACTATGGCCAGCACTGGCAAATTAAGCTTAACAATAAGAGCTGATTCTGAAAAATTTGAGCACCTCACTTTTGAAGCCAAAATCCATGGGAAAATCAAAATTCATGGAAACAACAAAAAAGAGTTTAAAATCGTCAGACACTGACCAGTGTACATGTATGTGCACTTTATCTGTTATAATCAAAAATACATTTAATATACATTATAGTATACATATTGTTATAATGGAAAAACGTTGGCCGTATTCACTTTAAGTGGCATTGTGTACTATGTTTAGCCATGGATAAAATTAACATCTTATTTGCACACATTTTAACGGGTATACATACAACAAACGGTAACTGTCCATGTGATGATTTGAAGATTATAATTTCGGTTTATAAAGCAGACATCATTTCAAAGTTCCGGATCCTGATCCTGAAATGCTTTTTAGAGTTCGTCGCTTTCAGACATTTATTTTCGGAACAAAGTTACTTTAAAAAACTTTTAAGATCAAAAGATTACAGATCAAATATTCTACACACTAGTTTAATTTCATTTACACTGTTAATAAGAGGAAACTCGTTAAGTGAGAGCCACCTATTTTACTTTCAAGGAAGTAATTACTGGTAGTTAATGTGTATCAGGGTATAATACATGCTGTCAAATAATGACTTAAGCCCTGTATACAATGTAAATAGCGTTTCAATCGTTTCAATTGTTTCAATCAATTCAATGGCGTCAATGCTTGCATCATTTCTTACATTTCAATGCTTACGTCTTTTTGAGCATTTCAATCATTTCAATCGATTTGCCTTTGAATTTTTTTGAAGTTTCGCTGTTTGTGCCTATTTCGCCGTTTCAAGCATTTCTACTACCAATTCATGAAGAAACGGTGAAACGATTGTAAAGAAAAACGAACATGCACGTTTTTCGTTTCAAGCATTTCAATCAACACGTCTCCAAAAATAAAATTACTGTTTCCCTGTTTTAATCTGTTTTGCTGTTTCAAGCATTTCAATCAATTCGCCTAAGCTGTTTTCACATTCTCTTTCAATTTCAACCATTTCAAGCATTTCGGCCTTTTCGCCCCTCGTTTCAAGCATTTCGTCTGCCAGTGTATACACCCCTTTACACCTTATAATAATAATATAAATAAACTATGCATAACTTGACAATATGTAACAACCTGGATCACAAAAATGTGACAATTTGTTACAAATGCCTAACAACAAACACCACTCACAGCTTACTCTCAGGTCTCACACTGTGATGTCAAGTATTTTAATTATGGTGTCATATCTCTAAACTGTGATGTCAGGTATTAAAACTTTGATATCAGTTGTCTGAACTGGAGTGTCAGACCTCCAACTCTGATGTCACATATTTGAATTGTGATGTCAGGTATCTCAACTATGGTATCATATCCAACAACTGTGGTGTCAGTTGTTTGAACTGGGGTGTCAGGTGTCATTTGTTTCAAAAACAGGTCTAGGTATGTAACACAGATCATCTTTGTAAAAGTCCCAGAAAATTTCTATTAAATCCTGGATGTGTTTTGAAATGACTTTTGTTGTTGAATTTGTCCATTTATAGCATTTGGTTGCTATGACAACTGGCTGGTATGGCGACAGTTTCAATAATGTTTCTATGACTGCTTCACTGATCTCTTGAGGAACTGCAAATAAAATGATATTTAAAATTGAAATATTTTTCATATTGCTTGAATGGTTCATATATGATTCATCTTCCCTTTTTAAATGTTACCCTTTATGGTTTTCAATATAATTAAGAGACATTTAATATTTTAAAAAAATATTTCGTCTATCCCAAATTCCTACAAAATGTGAAAGATCTCACTGTCAGATGGTTAGAGAGAGTTTAAATGTGTAACATAATGACCCCAGAGATTTTCGTTCTCCCACTGTTTAGCGTTTCTCGCTTTATATTCAATCAAGAAAAGCTACAAAGAAAAAGTCCCTTGGAACCAGATTTTAATATTCACATTTATCTTCTTTAAAACAGTGCAAACTCCCATCCCTATTGGAGTCTAAATCAGAGCTTGGTGAGAGGGTTTGTGTGTACATATTCTGAAATCTCGAAAATCAACAAGCAAAGGGAAAACAGAGAACCTTTCACCATCTGTGACACCACCGTCCACCCCCCCATAGCATGGGAAAGTGTATATAAATGATTGAAAGTATTAATACTGACCTATTTCTGTGTACTCAAGGACCCCAGATAAGGTGTTCACCATATTACAGACATTCACTTTCTCACTAGGTGGCGCTCCGTACAACAGCTCTCCCAATAAATGCACCAAATGTTTAACATGGCACTCAACTGCATTTGGTATCTCCTTGGTAACATCATTGTTTTTATCTCCAAGCAGAGTTAGGTAATTGTCTATGGTGGGGAGAATATGTTTTTGGAGAAGGGCACAGTCAATCTCCACCCAGGTGCTAAACTTAGATAGGAGCTCAATAGCTGCACAATCACCAAATAAGTAATCTGCAAGGAGAAATATTCATATATTGGAGGACAATGTTATCATTTTTTTTATTTATTTAATCATTTATTTAAGTCTCAACTATTTAAAAAATAGCCAGTTCTACCTGGGCTTATGAGACACATTTAACATTATATGAATACAATTTAGTCTTATGGATTCCTATCACTTTTAAAAAAAAAATTCAGTCACATGACCCTTTAAACGTAACTACTCACCATCATTGCAGGGTTTCTTATCTGCAGATACTTCTAAACTTTTTATAAAAACACCAAACAGTCGTTCATTTGTTAGCTTTGGGGGTTTCCAGTCCAAAATTCTTGTCAGCACCTTTAGAATCTGAAATGTGAATGCAGAATGAATGAAAGGTCAATGGCATGTATGAGGAAAAAGACCTATATAATATCTAAAGGCAATGTAATTGTGTAACTGCCATTAATATAATTCTCACTGAATCAAAATGCTTTGAAAATTCCTAGATTTTTTTGTCATAACTGTTTTGCAAGTACATATCTCTCAAGAAACCATACAGAAAATTTCTGTCCCGAAATCCCACTTTTTCACTTCAGGTGAAATAAAAATCTCCCCACGTTACTTTCAAATACTAAATATGAAATTCCTACTTATATATTGCATATAACTTTTTGGTATGAGTAAATCAAAAATGTTAAAATATTCTTGCGACTCATTTGTTACTTTCCCATATAGTAAAAAATAAAAAATGTTAGAACATTCTTGTGACTCATTTTTTCAAAGTCTATGATATATTCTTACTTTTGCATGTTTCTGTTTTGTGGAGTCCAAACAGGACATAAGAATATGCTCAAATGCTACTCCAATGTTTCTTCCTGAAATATACAGAAAATTTGTTATTTTTCTCCAGGTTGCCATGGTGACAACACAACACTGCATGTAAATACAAGGCATCAACATGCAAAATGTCACCATTTTGTTACAGATGCCAAATGCCAGAAGCCAAATGCTGAACACAGTCCCTCATTATCTTATACGCAATCAGGGCCAGTAAGGGCCGTTAAGAAAGGGGACCATAATCCCTGGGGGACCATCATTTCTTTCACACTGGCACTGTAATCTTTTCTGAACATTCTTTTTACCACCTTTAGCATATTAGTTATCTTTCTTCATGCAAGTATAGATAGCACGTCTAAAATATGTTGTTTGCTTTGCCTTCTGTGCTGAATGATTTTGAATAAAAAATATGATGAAACATGTACAGTATTTGAAAAAAGTAGAATCTTATGTCATCATTATTAAACTTGTACTAGTCAGAGATATGTGCTTATGGATTATTACCTTTTCCACGATGATTAAAGATGTCAGGCCAAACTGCCGCCATCGCTGTGAGACCTGGCATAAAGCCGCTATATTTGTTTTTTAAAACATTGTAGGCAAACACGCGAGCACGCTCCAGGTTGCCATGGTGACGACACAATGCTGCGTAGAATCGACTGAAAATATATGAATGTTATATAGGTATTTTATATGACATTCAAAAGGCAGACTCAAATATTGCATTCAAATGGGTTCAAACAACAACGAATGGTGTGTACAAGGTATAAAAACATAAATACTATCTAGGCAGGCCTGTATCCAGGGGGGCGGGGATTCGGGGATTCGCAGAAATTCTTTCAAATTAATGCAGTTTTCCTGAACTTTTTTCAAGTGGTTTTGGACCATAGTTATCAAATGTGAACCCTCTTGAATTTTTTGAAAATTGAAGCTCCCTTGGCAAAAGCTATGAGCCTGTTAGGCATAGCTTTGCTTTTATACCCACCAGATAGAAACTTTGCCCAACACAATGACTCCTAGCTTCTTTTTAAAACAGACCTCCAGGTTGTGTAGCACCATGTCTACAAACTCAACCTGCAAAATAAAAGATAAGTATTCTGTATATGTCAACAAACACAGCCTGTAAATAATAAATTAAGGTAGGCAATGCCACATAAATAAGTTGAACCATTTAATACAAGTGTTATCAAATTAGAGCCACCTAAATCTCAAATAAGATACACCAAGCAGAATAACTAATTCATTTAATAAAATGGATTTTTTTACGTAGGCTTGCATAGTGTGCGAATGAAGTCATGCAAAAAAAATTATCCCAAATCATTTTAACTAGGTTCACCTTAATGGTAAAAGTAGATGAACAAATATGAACAAAAATGTATCTTGAATTTAACCTACATCAGGGTGTTCAGTTCCAAGATGGTCCACCAGATGGAGTAGTCTAACATCATGCTCTACAAGAATCGGTGTATTAACTTCACCTTTCCCGCTACATCTAGTAAACAATGTCAGCATGAGGTCTGCCTCAAAAGTATGAACTGACTGGAAGGAATCAAAATTAATTGAGTTTTTAAATAATAGCCAAGGAGGATTTGATCCCAGAATGCAATTCTGATATTCTGCCAAATATGGGCATCATTGCCTTGTACAAATTTCAAAATTTAAACAGTCGCCATTTCTCAATCTTTCTCACTTCAGAATTTGAATCGTGAGTTTTGCTTTTATTACTTAACACAAAAAAATTCAAACACACAAGAAGTGATTAAGATTATAGTTGATTGTTACAATGTGAATTTATAGCCAGATATTTCAGTCATTTATGACGCTAGCTTTATTGAAAAATACCGATGTTGCATTCTGGCTGCAAACCCTCCTTAAATATTAGCTTTATCCTATCATCAAATTGTCACGGTTACCAAAAATGCTTGCTAATTTATTTTTATATTTCTAATGACAAAATAGACTAGCTTGTGATCAAATATCGGCATAATCAAAATCGCAAACACTGAGTGATTCATGTTTGCAAATCCATATCACTCACCTGAGCCAGACGTTCAGATATTGTTTCTATTGGCACATTTCTTAACGCCTTTAGAACTTCAGGTAGTTTGATTAAGTTATCACGGGAATATTTCCTTATTTGAGTGTCAGCAACTGAAAAGTAATAATATTCATATTTTTGAGTGAATCTTATTGTAAATCTAAAGTCAATTTATGGTATACATATGGTATTAGGTATGGACTCAAATACATGGTAACCAATGAGTTCAGAATGACACAAATGTCTAGATTCAAGAACCATTTACGCTTGAGGCACAAGGGAATTTGATTGGCTTGGTAAGTTCTTATTTTTAAAATTAAAAAAATCTTTCAGCATATTATCACAATATAATTGTTATCATTCTAAAGATATAAATTTAAGAGTGTGGAACAGTCAATAAGGCTCTTAGAAAGGGTTCTACAATGAGGGACTTACTCGTTTTCCCAACTGCATAAGACATCTGTTTTATATTTTTCTTGACACTTGAATTATCACTAGCAGCAACTGTAGCTTCAGCTTCGCCCTTCTTTCCTCTCTGTTTTTTCTTTTTGGGAGCTCTTTCATCAGTTTCACTGGATGGAACAAAATTTATCCCCTGTATCGTCTCTCCCGATTTTCGCTTCCTCGTTTTACGCCCCGGTTTGTCACCAGCATCATTTTTTGCACATTTTGGTTGGTCGTGAGTTAATGTCTCTTGCGATTTACGCTTAAGTTTTTGTTTTGATTTTGATTGCTTGTCCACTTCTACATGATCTAATGATTTTCCTGTATGTCCAACAGAAGGTACTTCATGCTCATTAAAGACTTTCTTTACATTCGCTTGCTGAAGTCTAACTACAATCTGTGCTTTTTGTGCCTGTATCCCCCTCGATTCCAATTCATCTTTATTAAAAATTTCCAATTTTTTAGACTTTTTACCCTTTTTAGATTTGAGTATTTGTAATGCAGCTGCCCTTGATGAGAGATTTCCAGAGGAGACCTGTTCCATCACAGTGTTCTGTTTGCCCTTAGTGGTCTTCCAATTGACTCCCTCGTGTTCTCCCTCCCCGACTATAGTGGTGATCTTTTCAATTGGATGCGGTTTCACTTGGATCGCTCCTACAGGTGCATGAGTGTGGAATACATGAGGGGAAGGACTTTTCGGGGGTCGTTTTTTGTTACGTTTAGGATTGGGGGTGCCAGGCAGGGGAGATATAGCTGGGAGGAGAGTCATCGAACTGAAGATGGAGGGTGTCCTTATTGGAGAATGACCCACATTGTTATCAATAAGTCCCTCCCTAAATGGTGATACTGCATCTTGGAGCTCTTCAATTGGGGAGGTAGAAAGTGGAGATAGTGGAAGCTCAGCGTTGCTAGGTAACGATGACACAGGAGATACAACACTAAGATTTTCTTGCGGGGACATGGGAAGATTGGACACAAATGAATGTTTTCCAACTGAATAAAGACTGTCATTTGATTGGTTGGAATCATTTGAGTCGTTTGAACCAGGAGTAAAAGCACGATTGGAATCATTAGCTGGGATTCCAGAACATTCCGGAGAGACAACAGTTACTGCAGATTTGCTGACTCTTTTAATTGGAGGTGGATTATTTAAATTGTTCACCTCCATTTCCTCTTTTGTAGGAACATACACCAATGTTTGACTTATTGTCTTCTCTGGTAATGTCCTTATTTTAGTAGAATTAATGGTTTCTTTTGCCACATCAGTGTCTGAAAGATCAACATCATTTGAGTTTTTCGTAGCTAGGAAGACTTTTGGTTGTTCTTGTTCATTTCTATCCGTGGTTGAGTAGATTTTCTCCAAACTGACTTCAAACTTTTGAGTTCCACCCAAGTCCAGTTCCCTACTTGGACTATCTACTGAATCATGGCTATCTATCAAAGAATTGTTTTCATCTGGCAAGGGATCATCAACAACTGGTGAATGATCATTATCACTTGGCAAGATATCATCAACATTTGACAACGTTTGATCACAACTGTTCGTAATTTTGGTATTGGCTTTTAAATCACTGTTTGTTATGGAGTCACTGATAGCAGGTTTGGTTGAATTGATACTTTCATTAGCATCCACACTTTTTCCAAGTGTATCAATGGTATTGTTTTCTTTCTTATCCTTCTCAATTGCAGCTTTATCCCTACTTTTCTCATTATCATCAGTGCTAAGGATACTAGCATCAAGGGTACATTCAGGTGGAGTTCTGTCATCTTTAAGTTCTGAACACTCAGCTTCGGATGATCCAATGATATCATCAACATCATCAGTTTTCTTGGCTTCTGTGGTTACAGCATCATCGTTTTCAACAGAATCAACAGTTTTATTCTCACTTTTTTCAATATTGAGTGTACTAGCATTGAGGGTACTTTGACTAGATGTTTTATGGTCTTTAAGTTCTGTTGTTTCATAAATTCTATCTTCCTTTATAATTGTAGAATCCTCTGATTTCTTTGTTGTAGCTGTTTTATTAATAGTGTCTGAGTTCTCAGGGTTAATTTTAGTCTGCTCACATTTCAAATTGGTTTTTGTATCTATTTTTGATTCTTCCTTCACTTTTTCTAAATTATTGATGGATGTTGAATCCATGTCTTTTTCACATTTTAGTGTTTCCATTATATTATCTTTGGCTTCAATGTTTTGAGTATTTGTGACTGGATTTACATTTTGAGCAACTACTGGTATTCTATTATTGTCTGAAACTGTGGATGTATTTTCACTGTCAGCATTTGTGGCTGCATTTTCATTGTCAGCAATTACGACAGTGTCATCACTTTCATTATTAACAATCGCATTAACATTGTCATTTCCATCCAATTGACTCTCATCTTCCTTTTTTCGTCTGGTTCTAGTGTGTTTAGGAGTTAGAGGACTCTTTGTTGTAATGTTGTTGTCAGAAGATGGGGATTTATCTTTTCTACTCCTGGTTATTCTGGTTGGAGTGGTGGACTTTGGGGCCACTTTATCTCTTGTATTTTGCTTGTTTCTTTCTGTATTAGCCTCGACAGAAACATTGTGATCATCTGGTTTAATAGGCTTAGGAGTTGTGGTTGTTTTTGTTTGGTTTTTCTCTTGTGTTACTCCAGCTTGGTTAGATTCTGTTTTATGTATCGGATTTAGATGGTCAATGTTGGATTTTGGAGGGCTGGGAGTAATTGGGGTACGGTCACCTAGTTTTGGAGTCAATGGAGCTTTCTTACTGCGTGTCACTCTAGATGGAGTATGTGGTGTGTCAGTAGATTCACTGTTACTGCGTGTCACTCTAGATGGAGTATGTGGTGTGTCAGATTCACTGTTACTGCGTGTCACTCTAGATGGAGTGTGTGTTGTGTCATTAGTTTCATTGTTACTGCCTGTCACTCTAGATGGAGTGTGTGGTGTGTCAGTAGATTCACTGTTAGATGCTTTGCTACGAGATCTTGTACATTTTCTGGGTATTTCAGGACCAACCGCTTCAATAGACTCACATCCCTCTTTAGCATCAATGGCTGGGTTACCAATAGTCTTTTTATCACTTGTTGCGTTCGAGTTAATCACGGAAAAGTCACTTGGGATATCCTTGACCTGCTTTGACTTCACAGGGTCATTTAGAGAATTGGGTTTGGATACATCATCCACAGTATATGTGTCATTCTCAATATCATCATTAGGTTTGATCCTTGTGCTAGAGGAGGTTTGGTTTGCATCTTCAATTTCATCTTGCACATTTTCATTTTGTCTTTTCAAAGTCTTTTGCTTTTTCAATGACTGCCTCGTTAATCGTTTTGTTTTTCTGAATGTCAATGTCAATTCATCTTCATTTTCATTTTCTTTAGTATCTTTTGCTTTGGCATCATCACTATCATTCAATTTAGTCTGCTTTATTTGAGCCTCATTTGTAACAACATCTAGTTTCTCTCCATCAAGTGTTGCTTTAGGATTATTTCCCTCTTCGTCCCCTTCAGTAACATCTTCATCAACCGTCTCTTTAGATTTAGGTTCAATCTCCTCTTGAGAACTTTCAGTTACATTTGCCTTGACTATATCAATAGTTTTAGGCTCAATCTCTTCATCACATTCCGTCACATCTGCAGCATCTACATCAACTAAATTGTTTTCTTTGGCTCCATGAACCTCTGCATCACCTTTAGTCCCATCCACATCACTAAGTTTAGGGTCATTTACTTCTTGATTGCCTTCTGTCACATCTGCATGAACTGCATCCTTAGCTTTAACCACATTCCCCTCTCTATCAACTTCTTTAGATTCACTTACATCTGCGACATTGGCCTCTGCATCGTTCATTTTCTGATCCCCTTCAGTCACATCTCCATCATTAGCATTAGCCTCATTTTCTTCTTGTTCAACTTCAGCCACATCTGCCAGTGTTTTAATCAGACTTTTGGACCTGCTCAGCTCTGCATTCCTCCTTCCCGTAGTGAGCCTTGTCAGACTTTTTGATCTTGTCATCTGTTTCATAAGATCAGGGGAGTCATCTGCAAGTACTTTCACCTTTCTTCTACCAACCCCTGGAGTCTTATTGTGCTTATCTGATAACTTTGAATTCATTGTCTGTTTACTGGTTGAATCTGGTTTTGATTTGGTGTGTTCAGATTTGTTATCTGAGTCAGACTCAGAGAGGGTTTTGTCGCTCTCTAGGCTTGTTGCTTTAAGGGTCGAGTCATTAGTTATGTTAGTCTCTTCATCACCAGATGAATCTGATAGAGACCCAATCATTTTGGCAAGAGCCATTGCAGGCTCTTCAATAGCTGTTGAATGTCTTTGTCTTGATGTCACAATAGGTGAATCACTATCACCAGTGGCAACAGTTGAATGTTTTCCAGAGGAAGGTTTAGAGCCTTCTTGTATGGTAGTGTCTGGTTCAGCATAAGTAGTCCTTAGTTCATCAAGTAAAGTAACTTCAAACTGCTGGCTTCCTTTCCTATCAAGAACTGGACCATCATCACTAGTGTCATTAATACTTTTAAATGGTTCATTCTGAGGGGGAGGAGCTTCATTTTCATGAAGGGGAGAAGCCTTATCTTTGTTTGATTGTTTTTGATTAAAGAAAGGATTTTTGTCTTTGATTGACAGGTCCATGTCTTTATCAACATTGTCAATACTGGGATCAATATCATGGGCAACTGGGTCAATATGACTATATTGTTCATTCTTAATGCCCATTTGTTCATTAGATGACTCTGAGTGTTCACTGGGAGTAACAAATGGTTCACTCGGGGCACTATCATTACTAGTTTCACTTTCACTTAAGTTTAAATGTTTCATTGCACTAGATTTTATCAATGAGGAGTCGATCGTCTTTTTCCATAAATGAGAACTGTTAGATGGTGCTTCTCTCTCTAATTTGTCTGAGATCGAGGGATCCTGATTGGTTGGTTCATCAATCTCAGCTTCCAGTTGTGACGCAAATTGTGAGAGTGATTCTGCGTCGCTTGAACTAATGCTGCTTCCTGCTTCATCGCCACTCTGGAATACACACATTTGATGTTTTAAAATTTAATAAACAAGATTGAATACAGTAGAATCAACAAGGATCAACAAACAAGCATGCAGTCATATTGTAAATTGTACAGAAAATGCCAAAAATGAGGGAGTTATTTTAATGTTAATTTAATGATCATGGAGCAAAAAAACCCAATCACCGAACACCATCGATAAAATGTGGTGACATAAAAATTGACCAGACCACTTGTTTGTTTGCTTGTTTGTTTGCTTGTTTGTTTGTTTGCTTATTTGTTGTATTCTATCGCCTAAACTCTATTATATCAGCTTTACAGATACTTGCCAAAAATAAAGTCTTGAACTCATTTTGAATGTCATGACATATTTTTTGAAATTTAAACTTAAACATACAGGTACAGGAGAGAGTCTGACACGTGACAATATCCTTCTAAGAACTTGAACACCGTGACATTTTCTATTAAGGTCATCATGACCAGATTAAATATTTTCTGTTCCATAAAGTGTCACTTGAATATTGATAGTAAACATGATTTCGTTTAAAGACTAAAATGAAAACAATTTATTTTATTATACAATTCACTCTATAGTTAAAAACAGTATGTTTAGGCTATTGTTTGAGGGGAGAATTCATTCAATGTAAAACAATATCACACCGGAATAGCCTGTCCGCCATTTGCGACAACGGTATCTGACTTTACCGTTGTCAGGCTATTCCAGGGTGAATATAAAATGGTGTATGCAACATGGGATACAAGAAAACTACTAAATATTTATTGGACCATATTGTGTTTTTATATTTTCCTATTTGAATCTACATATTACTTAAAAAGTAACTGATGAAGCAGATTCTCGAACATTGGAATTCAGATGTGACTTTATTCAATTGAAAAATGGGAAACACAAAGTCAAAACGGAGACCTAAGTTTAGTGGAAAAATAAAATATGCAAAATACAGAGTCAGTGTTTTCAGATTTTAGTGTCCATTCGTGAATAAAGTTGGGGCATATCTAGAAATTATCAGACCCATTTGTATCAGATTCGAATCTAAGTTATAGACTTTAATTTTTCTGAAATACAATGGTCTTAGGTCATCATTTTCAACTTACAAGCTAGCATTTCTAAAGCTCTCTAAAGTTTACATTGCAACACAGTTTTGTAGCCTTAAAATTAAATAATTTATTTAGAAATAAATTCATATCAAAATCATACTCTTAAGTTTACTTTTTATAATAATACTAATCCTATGTTTCATCTGCATAGGCACAGAATAGAATTACATATTTTTCTTGATAATATAAGGCGGATTGACACAAGTTCAATTGATATGTTGACAGCCAATCGTTGAACCATATGTAACTCCATTTTGACTAAATTGAAAACCTATTTGCACAATGTTGAAAACATTTTTTTGAACAAAGATAAAAATATATTTGGACCTAGTTGAAAGTTTATTTCAGCAGCCAGTTGAAAATTGAATTTTCATCAAGAATAAAGAAGCCAATTTTAATCATAGGAAATTTTTGGACACTCTGGCAAACTGATTCAACTAGATAATATAGAACCTTCTTATGAGTTGTGAAAACATCTTAAAATCTGGGATTTCCTACCCAGGGGACAGGATAGTCACATGACTGAAACTGGCCAATCATATACCTGAATTTGCAACATAATTGTGGGAAGACTTTCTTACCTCAGGTAGGGGAGATACTGCAGCTAGGTTGCCAAGCAGAGCAGTCCCATAATGTCTGAAGACCCTCTCTATGTCATCATTGTAATCGCTAACTGTACTAGCTGCATCATCAATGTCTGAGTGCACTAAAATATAAAAAACTTCTGTGTATTTTCAAAAGTGATTGATGATTATTCGTATGAGAAAAAGAGAGGAGAGAATAACATTTGATTATTTTCATTGGTTGTAATTGGTTGTTCCAGGAATGTTCCATTGTAAGTTCATGGCAGATTGTTGGTTATAGTATAAAATACATTGTATCATACTTGTATTTTAGCTCATTTTACGATTTTGCATACAAGTAACTTGCATTTTAAACCTTGACTTTCATACAAATATCACCAGTATTGAAGAAAGTCAGGACTGCGCCAAGCTGAGATTTTGAAAATACACTTGCTTCATTCAAGTTTCGGAAAAACTCTTGTACACACTTAAAATTTGGGAAATAAAACTTGCACCAAATTGACAAACTTCATTTACTTATTTCACACTACTTTACCCCCATACTGTATCCTGTATTCCTTTAAAAGAAGTACAGGCTACAGGGAAGTTGCAAATGGAGGACGTTTGTTTATTTCCATAGTTCTGAATGTATACTAGATTTTACATATATTCTAAGTGTTCTACTATACATTGTATAGATTCATCGAGCAGTTTGCAACGTATTATTACCAGAAAAGCCCAATAGACAAAGATAGAGAATACCCGCTCCATTTGCAACTTAACCGTACCCTGTATCATTTTTAAATGTGGTCACGTGGTAGGGTAGTGTGTTATTTACTGTAGACAGTCATGCATATTGACTTGTTAATCTCCAGAATACCTAGAATGACAGATATTTCTGTCACGAATAAAGTTCCATTTTGGAGGCTTATATCTAAAAGGTTATACATGTGTTTGTTCTCACTTTGATCTTCTGGCTCCGTACAATTCCTCTGTTTTGGTTGCAATGACATCAAATCTGCACCCTGATGATATGGAACCTTTTTCTGATGTTTCCTTGGTGATAGACTCTGTCTCTTCGGTGACAGCTTCTGCTGTTTCCTTGGTGACAATTTCCTTGGACTTGGTCTCTGAGGTGAGAAGCAATGATTTGTTGCTTTATCTGCAAATAATGAATTCAACTAAAAAGTTATTACATAGTTATTTAAAGTAGAAAATTTTACCCTACCCTATATTCCAACCAGCCACCCTACCATTTTTCCCACCCTTCCTTTTTGTATTAAAATATACTACCCTCAAATGATGGACAATATTATGTTTGGTGAATTTATCTAATGAATAAAATACTTAATATTAACTCTGGAATTCCATTATAGCAAGAATACTTTGTGTAAAAATTGCCACATACTAGCATTATACAGTCACCCGGTCACTTTATTCATTTGAAGCTTTGAAAGTAGGCTATTTTTACCTTTCGTTTTCGCTATTTTTACCTTTCATTTTCGCTATTTTTACCTTTCATTTTCTTGACCTGGGCCTCTAGCCTTTTGTTTTCCAGGTTAGATTGGTGTAAAAGCTTTTTCTGTTCAACAAGATCTGCCTTCACTTTTTGGAGTTCACCTGGAGTGGAGAGTATCATGTTACAGATTAACAATGCGACGCATATATGTGTCACACATTAACAGTGTGACACTCAAATTTACAATATGATGCATAAGACATGTCACATATTAATGAAGTGATACAGACATCTCACTAATTAATAATAAAATATCACAGATTAAAAATTAAATACAATGTACACATACATGTCACAGATTAGCGACTCAAAAACTTGTATCAAATTGTTGCCCGTCCCTTTAAACATGTAATACATGTAATGAATTTTTCTTATTTGAAGAGAGAAGTGGAACAGATATCCAAAAACAAGGTTTATTTTACTAGTTTGATATAAAGATGGCAGCACATGTTTGCCTCAATAGAAAATATAAACAGATCTCAAAAAACGTGTATGCCATCTTTCTAATAGTACATCACCTGTTTTATTTCACCTGATATTTATATAAGATTAAACAATTTATCAGTTCTTTACTCAATGTCAAGTATACCAAGATACATGTAAGGTTAAACCCCACCCTCACAAAGATTATATGGCTCTTAAAGTAAATTATTTGATAGTGGACTAGGGAGTTATCAAAGAACCAATAACATTATTTTGAATATTCCAGATATACCCTGATTTACAAAAGATTAGGTTTTTTTAAATTACGGGCTTCATTTTTCAAAATATGCGCTCAAAAATTGTAACCAATTTGTCTAAAAGAAACCCCAATTTTTCAATCTCCATGCCAGTAGAAACACTTTTTATGGTTCTAAGGGTGTTCCACTTACACAGGTTCTACTGTATATTAAAAGAGGGGGGGGGGGGGGGGGGGTGGATAAATCTTCTAGTTTATTTCACAATTTTAAAGACCGTCAACAGACAATGATAGACAAAACTCTGAATAAGATAAATTGATTATAAAAGTAGATTACAAATACAGTAGTTAGCATACAAATGTGACCTTACTAGCATGTTTGCAATAAAAAGTCCAAAGTGTGTACATCAACAATGATAGATATCCCTTGCTTAAAATTTCCCCAAATCATGCTTATTTCATAAATATTCCTCCCTTACGTTTAAATAATTAAACTGCCTCCTAGAATTTCTAAACATTTCAAATACTATTCACACAGATTTTACTTTTTGTATTATTTTAATAGGCTCTATATTTCACTTAAACACATGGTCATGGTGACATTTTTCTCAAAAGAAATCGGTTCCTCATAATTTAAGTGCACACAACATATCTGGGGACTCATTTAATGGCAAAGAATTGTATAAACAGGTATACTAAAACAGGTAAGTGAAATTTATCTAAATTTTATGTTGTCAAAAAGATGCATTTATTTGGTATCTATAAGAAGAGGTGGGGTTTGGTATTTCTATCCAGGGGCCTCAATCAAAGATACAGAAAGCAGACAGGTTTTTAAATCTGAATTTTCATTTATATATCAGAAAAGATGCAGTTATTTGATATCTCCAAGAAGATCTGGTGGGATGGGATTTCTATGAAGGGACCTCAATTAGAGTTAAATCTGAAGTTTTTTAATTCATAATCTATTTAGTATCTACAAGAAGAGATGGGGGTCAGTATTTTTTATCTAGGGGCTAAACTATAGATATAAGAAGTTAAAATAGGTAGTTTTCACCATCTGATTCTTAGCTTTATATTCTTCATAACATCTGACATTATGTATGGAGCCAGGTTTGGAGAATTGTCTTTGTAAGATTTCATGGATATTAACAGAGATTATTAAAGACTAACATGACAGGCACTTGGTGTTATTATCCGCTAGTTTCAAGCTAAATCATTAGGTTTACAAATCTTCTGTCCACTTGTTTGCATTAAACTTATAGACATTGACTAAATTTTCATGTTCAAACAGTCATGAGTTTAATTTTTTCAGAAAATGCTGTGAAAGATCAGACGTCAACTTTACAGAATACATCATGAGATATGAAACTTAAAGAATAAAATAGAAACAAAATCGATACAAATACATATCAACTCAAAGAAAAATGGCTTATAAACATCTTGTAACATTTATGGGGTTGCTCATGGCATTCACCTCTGAAGTTCAAGGTCGTGTGCACTGCATGGAGGGTAAAAGTGACGAGTTTCCCGATAATGTCAACATAACGACATCATGTGGGATGCTTAAAGCAAACGTAGGAGAGCAGATTGAAATCCAATGTATTCTTAACCCAGCATTGGCTATACCCCCGCATAAGATAGACTGGATTAACCCGAATGGCACTAACGTTCGTAGTAACACAACGGGAGCCGTACATCAAACAAACGGAACCTTAATGATTAAAAATGCTGATTTAAAACACACAGGCGTTTATACATGCATCGCCACAAATGGCACTTTCGTCAAGGAAGTTCACATCAACATTTACGAAATTCCAAGCTACTTATTCGAGGGAATGATTATCGTTGCAATCAATGGTGTATTATTGGTTATATTTACGATTGGCTTGGCCATTTCAGTAATTCGACAAAGACGTGAAGAAAAGCTGTCAGGGGGATTTCAAAAGCAAAAGAAACCAAAACCATCAAAACATGAAACTAAATTTCAGAAAATTGAAAAATGATGATTCATTCTTTGATATTTTTAAGGGAGCATGTAAAAAGATTTATGGCTATATAAGCTATATAATATCAGCTATGGGAAGGGTGTGTGAAACCAAAAAATAAGCCTCCCAACATCGATCCCCAAGAATTGCATCAGCCATTTTTCGTCTAATGTATATGATCTGACCAATGAACTACATATCGAACTGTAAAACTATTGGTAAATAGATGTGTATAGGTCAATTGCTCTAGTGTCAAGATAATTAGGTGATAATAGGGACCTTCAAACTAACATTTTTTGCTTGTTGCCATTGGAGATACCTCAGGCCATGTAGTCATTTACTTCTATTCGTAAATGGCCTACCATATATAAGGAGGTAAAAAAATGTAAAAAATCTCTATGTTAATTTATCAAAAATTGAACATTGTTCAGAATTTAATAGACTACAATTCAAAGACCAGTCATACAAATCAATAATCATTGATTGGAAGGTACATGTAGTTATTCTTTGAAATCTGGTGGCAAATAACTACTTATGGCAATTGGCAAAGCCTTGTAATGTACACAGAGTACAGTAAAACCTGTCTAATCCAAATGTCATTGGGGTTGACAGTATATTTGGATTTGCAGATGTTCTAGTTTCATTTTTAACATGGAAGTCTATGGCTGCAGTTTGGCAGAAGAAATGGGACTGAATTAGTGTTTACTTTGAGAAGTGTTGAGACTAGAGAGGTGTTTGAATATACAGGTATTACTGTTCATGTATTGTCAATGACCATTGATAACTTGAGTTTATACAATGCAAAATGTCAAACAATTATCAGTTTTTCACAAGTGCTTTTTGAACAAGATAAAACAAAATGTGTTTAGCCTTATCAATTTGATACAAGGGTTGTTCAAAAAATTTTGCACAAATATGTCTAATTGTGAGAATAATGGTCCAATCTGTCGAGCAAGACTTTTCGAACGACCCTTGAATAAAGTCAATGTATTTTAGAGTTAATGTTCAAGTGGGACTCATATGTGTTTATGAATGAAGTGTTTTGCTGATTTCATAAGACAAACTGATGAATCATATCAGTTTGGTATTAGATCGTTATTCAATCACATTTTTGAAATAATTATTGCAATGGAGTATTTAACGCTCCATGGTGAGCATCGCTCAACATGGTTACAAATAGGCGATAAAATACCATGTTCATTGAAGCAAATAATTTTTCTAAGTGAGACCACTTCCGAAACACGATTGACCGTTTATAATTTTACTATTTGATTCTTTAAAAACATGAAATGCAAACAAAACAACTTTACAGTCTAGATATTTGCATTAAATTGGCTGGAGTCGATCGATGTATATTATACATGACATGAGACATGATCATTGTCAGACTTTTCACAAAAATGTGCCAAGAAGTGATGGCTATATGTATATGATGCTGTCTTTTAAGAAAGATGAACTAGTCAAAGAGGTAAAAGTTAATTTGAAGGTGATATACAGTTTAATAAAATGATTACTGTACAAACTGTAAAAGAACTCCTACATCTTTCTGTGGGAGAATTTGATTAAAAGTATATTTCGAAATAAAAACAACATAAATAAATATTCATATTCTTTAGCCGATGAAGGTGACATTATAATAAAAAGGCCAAGTGCATCGTGACATATCTATCTACCTAGAAAGATATACTTCTAATTCACAATATCTAGAGGTATATTTTCTGTTCATGCTTATCCCCATATTTTATCCTTCTAAATGAATGAAAGGCATGATTTTCTTTTATTTCTATACAATTTAGAGTGTTGACTACATGCTTGTTTACTTTATTCCTTGCTGATTCCTCTCATTTCTCTCTTAAAGGACGATTCTCGGTTTGGAGAACGAAGTTCATCAATCTAAATGAGTATTATCCCTGCTTCGGACAAATTTGATTTTTTTACATAATATAGATTTGAATGTCTTCTTTTGAATAGTCATAATTTAATTTGGGTAATATTTCTAGATTTTTCGCAAAAAAATATTAGCGCAGTACACTGATGAACTTCTTTCCCCAAATCGAGACTTGTATTTTATTGAATCGGTCTATTTGAGCATTATCCCTGCTTCAGACCAATTTGTTATTTTTACATCTTGTAGATTTAAATGTCCTCTTTTGAATATTCTTAGTTTAATTTGGGTAATATTTCTATATTTTTCATGAAAATTTTTTTAGCCCAGGAGGCTGTTCTCCAAACCGAGAATCGTCCTTTGAATGAAATGCATGATTTTCTTGTATTTCTATACAACTTAGAGAGTACACTATATGCCTTACTATCTTATTCCTCACAAATTCAACTATTCTCTATCATTTCATGTGACATGACAATTACACACAGACTTGTTTTTCAAAACATGAGTGAGATGATGTTTTCCTCAAAGGTCAAGTATAAATAAAACCTTTTTTCAAAAGATATAAGTTATTTATGTGGATTACATCCTATGTTTATGCTCCATACAAAGGTGAGAATGTGTTCAGGGAATAAAAAAAGACAAACAAATTATTATTATTCTCTTTAACTACATGAAAACACAAGGTATTAGCAAGCAAAATGTCACCACCTCTCATTTGTTACAGATGCCAAACACCGAACACTAACCACCAAACACTGCCCATAAAATAGTTGGACACTATAACAATATGTCACTACTTCTGGCAGTGACAGTTTATATCAACCACACAAATATTTAATACAACTCAAAATGACTGTAACTTTCATTTTGGATTACAATTGAGGAAACATTACCAATTAAAACCAACTTACTTTCAAGTTTGTGAATCTTGCTGTTATTTTTCTTATTCTGCTGCTGAAGTTCTTGAACTGTTGACTCCTTGCTTTGAATCTCTTGTGTAACTTTCTGGCTAGATTTCTCTGCTTCATGGCGTACACTTTCATACATCTTGCACAGTGCCTACAAATATCACGTTTCATGGCGTACATTTTCATATATGGTTCACAGATGACAAAATAAAACTATTTCTACAGGGGTTTCATTAGCAGCAGGCAACAGGCGATTTTCACCGGATGTTTTAACAAAATCGCCTGTTGTTTCTAGGGACTTTTCCATGTTAAATTCACGATTTCCATTAATTATGCCTGTTGTTTTCATTTAATTACCCTGTTGTGAGAAATTCTAGTGAAAAGAGAGAATTATACTACAGTAAGTACATACCTCTGAACTGTTCAGTTTTTCCTGGAGGTCTTGTATCAATGTATTCTGAAAATCCCGCTGTTTTTCAAGCTTCATCTTTGACTGGAATAAAAAACGTTTTGATGATTTGAAACAAATTCATAGGTGTCACGTTTTAAATTGAGAATACAGCAAAATGAAATCAGTAGTGAATTAAGTGAATAGGCAGGCATAGGCATTAGAAGTACATGTATACTCTAAACTATTTCAAAATATGAGGTTTTGTTTCCAAATATCCAAGAAATGATTTTGAAATTATTTTCACCTTTTTTGTCTGAGATTCAAATTGACATAGTAATTGAGAACAATAAGGCAAAAATTAAATTTGAGCAACTTTGGTACAGCATAGTAAAACATGCAAGGTGATCTCAAAAATGTTCCTATTTCTCATTTTGCCATAGCTTTACCAAGTGACAGCAAATTAAAAATTGACTTTTTCGGCCCACCTTGTACATACTCGTATGTTCTGAGAGGGAAGTTACCTTTTTAATTGGTTCTATTTCTTGAAGACAAGCCTTCAATTGTGTCTCCACTGATTCAAGGTCGCTGAAATAGAACAACATAATTTGTAGAATGATAATGTAAAAAATGAAATATAAGAATATATAATAACAACACAACAAAAACAACTTTAAGTAAGGTTTCAGCAGAGAATTTATTAAGTAAGGTTTCAGTAGAAAAATGAAAACAGGACTTTAGATCTTTTTGTTTCAATTTTTGTTCAGTTCAATCTATTTTACACATTTTAATTACACACAGCTGCTACTTACCGTTGTGTTTTGTCAAACTTCTTACTCGTATCTTCAAGTTTCTTAGAAGCTGCTTCGTAATCCTGGCACTTAGAGCTGTACTTCTTAATCAACATGCTGTATAAAGAAATCAAAAATCAATTAATGGTACCTGTTACACAGATGTATTAAATTGCTACGTTAAGAAGCATTATGACAGAAAATTTGACTTTTTGACGTCAAAATCAGCAATTTCTCGGAAACCGGGCAAACTTGGCAAATGGCGGTGATAGGTCAAATAGGCATTATGGATATGCATAAAATGAATGTGGAAATGACTCAATTCGAATAGCAGTTTTAATTTGTGTGGCCAATGTTGATGGACGCAAAAAGTTTTGTAGCAAAGGATTTTGTGCCTGTATAACATCTCAAAAATCCATCGTTTTTGTCAAAATGCTTTGTTACAAAGAAATTAAACTAACAGGGATTTCAATTTTGAAATAAGTAACTTCTTAAGATATTAAAGGCTATCAGGTCATCTCTATCTTTTATCATATTAGTTGAGAAACAATCAAAATCATTCTACTAATACAAATACATAACCTATCACAGCTGAGTATAAAACGAAAATGAACCAAAGTGTTTAAAAATGCAGGAGTTTCACTAGAATCTCTCACAATAGGCAAAATAAATGAAAACAACAGGCGAAATTAATGAAAATCATAAATTTAACATGGAAAAGTTCATGAAAACAACAGGCGATTTTGTGAAAACCGGTGAAAATCACCTGTTGCCTGCTGTTAATGAAACCCCAGATATGGGTACGTTCATGTTCTCTATGAATATATAAGCACAAGTGCCAAAGGGAAAGGACCAAAAGTTGTAATGGAACTTAGCAAGAAAAATCAAACTGTAAGTGAATACCAGTCAAGAAAAAAAAAACCATAGCCCAAAACCATGATCTAACGTGAAAAGAAACAATGTCTAATACCCCCTTTCCCCCCACCATTCAAACTATTCTCATGTTTAAACTACGAGATTGCTTACTCTGTCTGGATTATCTTTTGTTTTAACATGATGTAGTCCTGTGTGGGGTCTTGTTCCTCAGGTTTTCCCATTTCCTGTAACAAATATAGCATGATAATTTCACATTTTCACATTCAACTTTCACATTTTATTAAGACAAATGGGGGTGTCACATTTTCCTGATATTGTCCAATCTCTTGGGAATTTGCTCTCAGAATAAGTGGAGCAATCCCTATGTACCAAAGTTGTTGGTCCTGATTTGGCATGTCATAGGTATCCTTTATGGTATACACTTCCCAAATGTATTCTAATGATCTAAGAATACACTTTACTTTACGTGGTCGTGTCTCGTCCCATCCTGGATGCCCAAAAATAGATTGGAAGAAGAAAAGAAGAATACTCATAAATTTGCCCAAGCATCACTAAGTATTCAATTTAAATATTATCTAAAAAATATTGTGAGAAAAGTAATGGAATTGAAATAGAAACTAGCATCTGTCACATGTGAAATATTTTATCTGGGATAAATATCAACGGATCTACCATTTCTCAAACATCTTAAATAAATAACTTGACTTTATTTCACTATTGTGATATTAACATCTAAAGGTGACAGAAAAACTGAAATCATGCATCAATTTTGCATGTATGATAAAATGTCACGCAAATCATGCATTATGTTGATATTTAAAAAAAATGTTTTTTATAAAATGCTGATATGGTAAAAAAATGAGCATAGAAAAAAAGCGAATGCATTCCATTCAGACTTTCACACGAATTACATATATGTCATGCATTTGTTTAAAAATATTTTGTACATTAGCAGTTTCATAGCCCTCACAAGGTAGGAATACATAGTCGACCTTGAAATGACGTTCTCTAGAAGCCTCATGTTTTTTATGAATTGATAGAGCTCTCAAAAATCATCATGTGGAAATTATTTTAATTTCAAGCAAGGGTCATTTCCCATGTCAAACCTGCCCATGCTCTTTCTTCACCTAGTTTTATCCCAGGTTTATTATGAGCAATGTTTGTGGTTAGGCGGACCATGGGCTCTATCAGAAATCTGGGTTGAAACTTGATTATGTTGCTATCATTTACTTTGTACATAGCATCTTAGTGTTAGCCATCAATAATAATCACACGAGCACATACCTTACTGGAGAAACCAGGAAAATTAGAACAATTAGGAATCTCAGCCATCCTCGTGGGCGATAATTGATGACTTATATTTTAGATTATGTGTGTAAAATCCTATTTCTATTTCGTTCAAGGCTTCTTAGTACTGCTAAGCTGTATTAACATGTGTGTATGAAAGCTACTAACACATTCCAAACCAAGATGTATCAGACAACTTGATGTTAAAAGCAATATATTCCATTTTAGTGAACGTTTTCGTTATTTTCTAAAAATTTCTATGTTACGATAAATATACGATCGCTCAATTTTACGCGCGGTTGTGCGTTTAGAAATCAAGGTGTTAAAACAACCTCTATGACGGCTTTTAATTATAGTTCTTAGTCAGCATTTCCATTAGATCAATTGAAAAATCTACCAAGCAAGACACATGAAAGAAACTTTTATGAATATCTTCCTGGTGAAAGCCGATGAGAAACGAACACCGAGGAAACTTCCTGCCATATTTTTTTGCGGTCGCAATTTTATTGAATTTAGAAAATTTCAGTTTTCATTTCTTGGTCAACTTATTTTGCAACTTTTTAACTTCTATTATGATTTTACAGCAACGTTAGAACCGTTTGATCAAAATCATTGCTTTGAGACACAAGTTGAATAGCAAAGAATAAGAAGAATAAGCCATTCTGGCTGCAGTCTATAAAATCTTTTTTTTTCACCATTGTACTGCAGTGCAAAACAAAACTGTTCTAGATCTGTGCTCATGACTATGAGTCATGTGATGTACATCAGGGGCATCAGGATCAGAAGGTATGCTACTAATACATTACCTCGTGCTCAGAATTACCTTTGTCATGATGCATGCCAAATTATACCCAACTTTCGACGGAGGTGCCCGTCCAGCTCCGATGAGTTGGACTATCGCAGTTTTGACAGGGCCTGATACAGGTGCATTGTACACTAGGGTTGGAACAGAATGAAATGACCCTCGATAGCAAGTCGCTACTATGCAGTTTAAGTTGTAGTGGGTAGTCCTTATGGCTCAAGGGTAAAGCTTTTTGCAAGGCCTGAGTGCGCCGCTAACATGCTAAATAGAAGAGTTAGCTGACGTTTGGGAGTCTGACTTACCTTCTAAAGGTTAGAACCCGAATTTTAATGAAACCATATCACCTTTGTTGCGTCGATGATGATGCATAAACATAGCATTTGATAGAAATTAGTGTAAATACTTTTCCGACTTTTTCATTTTTCATCAATGTTGACTTCCGGGAAGGCGTTGTAGTTATCACGAAATAACGCATTGACCCTTGAACTTTACTTTGTTGACGTGTCAACCAAGCATGTCTGGTGTGAAAATTAAAAGAATATTAAGCAATGTTCTACATCCGCCAAGCTAAGTGAAGTAGTCAATATTTAAAATTACCAATTTCAAGTGAAGTACGCAACGAACGAAACTGCGTGATTTACACTCCCACTATTGGTCTGAATGAAATGCTACGTAGAAATATGAGCCGTCTGCTGTATTAGTCGATTAATAGAGTAAGACCTGTTGGTGATGCTTTATAATTTAGACCAAAACATTGAAGAACAAACGAACCTGTAAATCGTGAAAACAACGAACAAATATTCGGTTTTCACATATGTTCGGTAATTTTTCGTATTGAAACTTCCGGAACTTACAAGGAAATCATTCATTTTCTCGATCCATGATTTACCTCTTGGATGTTGTGGCAAATGCTCCATGGTTGACGGAACAAAGGTGATATGGTTTCATTAAGATTCGGGTTCTAACCTTTAGAAGGTAAGTCAGACTCCCAAACGTCAGCTAACTCTTCTATTTAGCATGTTAGCGGCGCACTCAGGCCTTGCAAAAAGCTTTAGAGTGTCTGACTAGTGAGTGGAGGGTCCAGGGTTCGATTCCCATCCGGGACATTTAATTTAGCACACTTGACCTTTTATGTCTAGTACTTGGCATTGACTTTAGCACACTCCCTTTCATGTCTAGTATCTGGCTCGTTACACTACAGCTCCCCGGTCGGACTTGCCAGTAGGTCGATACAAACATTTTCAAAGCAACACCATGTGTACTGTGATGACCCGAGGGTACCCCGGGGGAATGACTAACTAACGAGCATAGTGTAACAAGCCAGATAAAGAAATTGAAAGAAAGTGTGTTAAATTCAATGCCATGTGTGGGAATTGAACAGAGGACCCTGCTCTACCGACTGAGCTATAAGGGGCCCTAGTTATCAGAAAATGAATTTGCATTAACATAAAAGGTATATTTTAATGTAGTATATGAAAACCTAATCATATTTATGCACTCATTTTTCAGATAGGCATTGCTCCAATGAGGTTGGTCTCTGAGGCTATACTGATGTGAGAAGCTGTACAAGACACATATTGTAAGTTGCTTTAATTTGGCGCAATTTAATTTGGCGGATTGGTCAGATTTGGGAAATTTTGGCTGCTGTCCAATTTGGTGGATATACCTATCGTAAAATGTGAATATTTGGGGGCTCATACAAAGATGCAAATAATGGTTTTCCAAGCTTAGTTTTATCAAAAATCAATCTCCACAACAACATACTTGTCTGTAAATTTTCGAAAATAGTTCAAAATTTTAGTGTTTTTTCAAATTTACTTATCCTGCAAGGTCACACAAAGTTAGTCATTTAAAAACTCTGAGTACGCATAACCACTTAAAGTCAAATGAACTAATTACTGTATACATGTATCTTCCATGAACAACATTAAAAATAAGTTACCCTTAATGTGGCTGCTGCTTTAAAGGGTACAGGGGCAGGCCTGTCAGACACTTTTCCTAAAGGGGGTGCAATTTCACAATTTTTTACCAATAGTAGTCTTATGACATCAGGGATGTACTTATTTCATGTCCTTATGATCGTTCATCATCTTTAATTCACTTAATTAACTTTAGAATGAGTTCATTGTTTACTCTGGCCTTATTGAAAATAGCCACATTTTGTTCATGATTAGCTTCAACACTTTAAAGGGGGTATGTCCACACCCAACACCCCCCCCCCCATCTGATGCACCTGAGGGGTAAAATGTTAGAATAAAATTTTGTAAAAAGAACTCATGTTTCTCCAATTACAAATCTAATCCAAAATGTATAATCCCAAACATTATATTGGTTTAAACTTTCTTGAAACTAATATCACTTTGTATGATAATGATGGTTGCTCTTATGGTTGTATGATAATGATGGTTACTCTTATGGTTGTATGATAATGATGGTTGCTCTTATGGTTGTATGATAATGATGGTTGCTCTTATTGTTGTATGATAATTATGGTTGCTCTTATGGTTGTATGATAATGATGGTTCCTCTTATGGTTGTATGATAATGATGGTTGCTCTTATGGTTGTATGATATAATGATGGTTGCTCTTATGGTTGTATGATAATGATGGTTGCTCTTATGGTTGTATGATAATGATGGTTGCTCTTATGTTTCAGCACTATGTCAGCCTATACAGGATCTATGGACTATAGCTCTAAGAACTCCTGGGTCCAAACAGTAGGACAGATAGATGAGTTATTGGATGAACACACAACTGGGACACTCACTAGTGGCTATTCACAAGGTATGTTCATCATGGGTTTCACTAGAATTTCTCATAACAGGCTTAATCAATGAAAACATCAGGCAAAATTAATGAAAATCATAAATTTAACACTGAAAAAGTTGAAAAGTCTCTAAAAACAACAGTCGATTTTGTGAAAACAACAGGTGAAAATCGCCTGTTGCCTGCTGCTAATGAAACCCCTGTACATGTCTGTTTTTCCATTTGTTCATAAGGTTTTCTATTTGTTCATAGCGTTTTCCATTTGTTCATAAGGTTTTCTATATTGTTGTTCATTATAGTTTCCATCTCTTGATAAGGGTTTCTATTTGTTCTTAAGGTTTTCCATTTTTCCATTTGTTGAAAAGGTTATCATTTGTTCATAAGGGTTTCAATTTCTGGATTAGGTTTTCCATTTGATCATAAGGTTTTCCATGTGATCATGAGTTTTTTCATTTGATCGTAAGGTTTTCCATTTGATCGTAAGGTTTTCCATATGATCATAAGGTTTCCATGTGATCGTAAGGTTTTTCATTTGATCATAAGGTTTTCCATATGATCATAAGGTTTTCCATGCGATCATAAGGTTTTTCATTTGTTCATAAGGTTTTCCATATGATCATAAGGTTTTCCATATGATCATAAGGTTTTCCATTTGATCATAAGGTTTTCCATTTGATCATTAGGTTTTTCATTTGATCATAAGGTTTTCCATGTGATCATGAGGTTTTTCATTTGATCGTAAGGGTTTCCTTATGATCAAAAACACAAGTCTCACATTTAACACAACCTTTTACAGGGATCACAAAGTCACACTGGGTGTCAAACAATGAAAGGCCAAACTGTATGGGCTGTAATCTGAAGTTCACCTTCACTGAGAGGCTGCATCACTGTAGAAGGTAACATAATGGAAAATTCAATACTAACGGAAAATTTCATTCTAAACAGTGGAAAATTCCATTTGAATGGAAATTCTATCTTAGTGGAAAATTCCATACTTATGGACAATTCCATCTGATAGGCTGGTGAAAATTCCAAATAAATGGAAATTCTGTGAATGATTTTGTCACAAGGGATCTTGGAGTGGAACCAACGAAAATAAAGTTAACAAACATTTAATTATTAACGCTCTAAATAGTATAGAAGTACCAAAAAATTAAGTAATCAAATTGTATTTAGAGTATTTTATTCTCCTTCAAATGTTTCCAATTCTATGTATCATGTCTTTCAACTTTTCTGTTGTAACTTGTCTGACAAATTATGCCCTTTGTGTTTATACAGGTGTGGTGAAGCATTCTGTCACAAGTGCATCAACTACCAGAGACGCCTCAACCACCTGTCTAATCCAGACCCTAATGGCAAACTATATAAGGTAGATTTTACCCTTGACAAGAGCTTGACACTCAACCTCATCTACACTCTTTATTTATCTAACCAACATCAAATCAGCATTTGTTGTCAGTTATTCCTGGAAATGCGAACAAAAAACATTTTATTACAATGAAACATGTAAATTATAACACCTCTACAAGTGGTACACTCCAGAGTCCTAGGACTAATTGACTTAATGTTAAACGAACCTCTATAAGTGGTACACCTCCCAAGTGGAACATTTTAGAGGTATCACATGTGTTCCACTTAGACAGGTTTTACTGTACTGTACATACAATATTACTACACACAATAACTACATACAGTCAACCAATTACGTTATGTACTTTAAACATATTAATCACTTTATTTCAAGGTTTGCCAGAAATGTTTCGACACAGGCCCCCAGACCATTGGATTCACCTGTTCGTGGAAGGAGACATTCAGAGCATATAGGAGCACTAATTGCGATGGCGGAGGAGAGGGCTCCATATATGGAAGGTAATTACAACATATCTCAGAATCGACTCTCAACAGGGTCCATATATGGACGGTAATTACAACATATCTCAGAATTGACTCTCAACAGGCTCCATATATGGAAGGTAATTACAACATATCTCAGAATTGACTCTCAACAGGGTCCATATATGGACGGTAATTACAACATATCTCAGAATTGACTCTCAACAGGCTCCATATATGGAAGGTAATTACAACATATCTCAGAATTGACTCTCAACAGGCTCCATATATGGAAGGTAATTACAACATATCTCAGAATTGACTCTCAACAGGATCCATACATGGAAGGTAATTATCCTATCGAACATAGTCCGAGAGGGATATAGATAAGCTGTCCATCCGTTTGTTCATCCATTCTTAAGGATATTAATCATCTCCTAGGGACGCAACTCAATTGAGTTGAAACCCTGGAAGCTAATCCTCCTCGTTCATTTGCCTGAGATGACTCCATATAATATAGAACAAGTTACATTGTAAAAAGTGAACCAGTGATCTCCCTGGCGTTGAAGCATTTAAACGAGTGGATCCTGCAACCACTTCAGACGTATGATTCAACATTCCTAGACATGTGATACAATCATCATCACACTGTCCATCCATTAGTTTGTTCATTTGTCTGAGGTGACTCCATATAATATGGGACTAGGTAACATATGTAAAAAAGTGAACCAGTGATCTCCCTGGCGTTAAAGCATTTAAAGGACAACTGAAATATACTCGGGGTGGAAGGTGTGAGAATTGTGCAAAAAATGACTTTGTGAGCTGGATGGAGTTTCTCTGTATTTTTCATTCTATTAGGGTTTCCTGCATAAGGGATTTCGCCTGCGAAGCATATAACTCTTGCGAACATATCTAAATATTGGTCCGAAGAAGACATACCTTGAATTTTTTAGAAAAAAATTGGCTAAAAATGGAAACTACAAAAAGTCAAAATGTTCAACTCAAACAAAACTCTAGCTATTTAATATTAACACTATGTATTATTTAATGTTTTTCAGATGTTTAAGGACCTTCATTAGTGCACTTGTGTCTAGAAATAAGATAATTAAGGACAAAATTTGGCATTTTTGATCATTTTCGCTTTCAGCAGTAACATATAGTTCCTTATATCTTGAGTTTAATGTTGACTGGTTGTTGCAATTTTGATCAAATCTGTTCTTGTACATGTCTTCTTCCATTTAAGATACAAAAAATGTATATTGGACCACCAATGGTCATATAAGGGCTTTCAGATCTCCCCTACCCCATTTATTATGAAAAATTCTGAAGCATATGAAAAAGTAAAATAACTTGAATTTATAAACTTTAACAATGTTGTAGCTATTCCATATCAACATTATGTATTATTTAATGTTTTTCAGATATTTCAGAACCTTTATTGGTATACTTGTGCCTAGAAATGAGACATTTAAGGACAAAACTTGGCATTTTTTAAAATCATTTTAGCTTTCAGCAGTAACATATAGTTGCTCATATATTGAGTTTTATGCTTACTGGTTGTTGCAATTTTAATCAAATCTGTTCTTGTAGATGTCTTCATCCATTTAAGGTATAGAAAATGTATAGTGGACCACCAATGGTCATATTAGAGCTTTCAGATCATGAAACTATAAACTTTAATAAAGTTGTAGCTATTCTATATCAATATTATGTGTTATTTAATGTTTTTAAGATATTTCAGAACCTTTATTGGTAAACTAGTGCCTAGAAATGAGACGTTTAAGGACAAAACATGGCTTTTTTTACCATTTTCACTTTCAGCAATAACATATAGGTCCTTATATCTTGAGTTTAATGCGGACTGGTTGGTGCATTCTTAGTCAAATCTGTTCTTGTAGATGTCTTCCTTCATTTAAGATATAAAAAATGTATAGTGGATGACCAATGTTCATAGTAGAGCTTTCAGATCTCCCCTACCCCATTTATTATGGAAAATTACCGAAAAATATGAAAAAATAAAATAACTTGAAATTATAAACTTTAACAAAGTTGTAGCTATTCTGTGTCAATATTCTGTGTTATTTAATGTTTTTAAGATATTTCAGAACCTATATCGGTAAACAAGTGGCTAGAAATGAGACATTTAAGGACAAAACTTGGCATTTTTTGTCATTTTCGCTTTCAGCAGTAATATATAGTTCCTCATATCTTGGGTTTTGTGATGTCTGATTGTTGCATTTTCAATCAGATCTGTTCTTGTGCATGTCTTCTTCCATTTAGGATATAAAAAATGTATATTGGACAACCAATGTTGATATTAGAGCTTTCATGTCTACCCTGCCCCATTTATAATGTAAATGAAAAAGTAATTTCAAATCATAAACTTTAACAAAATTGTAGCTATTCTCTATCAATACTATTATTTAATGTAACCTTCATTTGATTACATGTGTCTAAAATTTGGCATTTTCAGCATTCTGCATTTAGCAGTAGCATATAATTTTCCACAATTATAATTCTTTGATGATAGATTCAAATATGTTTTTTATTGAATCTGTCTTCTTTGATTTAAGTTAAAGAAAATGTATGTAAGAAAACAAATGTTTTATTAGAGGTCTAAGATCTGCCCTCCACCATTTAATAAGAAAACCAAAACAAATGTTATTATTGCATGTTAATATTCTTAAACTTTCCAAAAGTTTAGCACATTTATTAGCACACTAAAATCAAAAAATGACACATAAATGGGCAAAATGACCAATTTTTCACTTTCAGCAATAGTTGTTTATATTTTTAGTTGAATGGTGATTAGTTGACATATTTTAGATCATATATATTCAATTATGTGTCTTGTTATCTTCAAAGCATGGAAAATGTGTTTTAAACACAAATATACATATTAGAGATAAAATTACTACACTACCATATTTTTGAAGGTTTGTTTGTGAGTACTGGTACAAGACACCCATTCATATAGTAATTTAGAATGCTATCTTGAAGGACATAACAAACTTTAAGAGCTCTTTTTAACTCTCATCCTTCTTGGCAAGCAACATTCTGTATCATCAGACTGAATACAAATTCTCTCAATATTGAATTCATTTGTCTTGTCAGCAGCTAAGGGTGGTGTAATTAGGAAGTTCATGAAGGATATTGGGCTTGGTGATATTTTGGTAAATGCAAACATTGTGAAATGAGGAACAGCCAACAAGATGATTTTGGAAAGGATTATTGAATGGTAAGCTGTCTTTGGTTTGTGAAGCAATGTTGCTGTATCTCTAAAATGGGATGAATTTCACTTATGGCAGAGCTGCTATTGAACTTTGCAAAACTGATAGTTGCAACTTATAGACAATCTATCAAATACTGATCATGAAGAAGTTGACACTCTCCTTATGGCCCATGTCTACTACAGTGCTGTATTGAGAGAATTTGTATTCAGGCAACCATAGGATTGTTGTTTTAACAAATAACAAAACATTTTGGCATTATGACGTCATGATCTAATGGACCAAAACGGGCCACGTGGGGGCCAATAACGTCACAACCAATTCGAATGTGTCATATGTGACATAATAATTAAAACAAATTCAATTAATTGGTTGCCTAGTAAGAACGGAAGTAAACTAGCATGATTTAGCATTCACGATTCAAAGAAAGTGATTGGTCAAGACTTGCGAAACAAGTCAGATTGAGGCAACATTTAAGGCTGAAAGTTGTCATGTGTGAATACCGTTCCGGGTGGCAGGGTCCCCATATTAAAAACTGTCTAGAAAACTACATGAAACATATCATTTCTCCATGAAATTAATACACAAATTAGTTAGGTTGTTGGTCTTTATTATTGGAAAGTTTAAAGTAATTTTATCAAAAACCAACAAAATTAGAGCAGGGCGTCCAAGACTTTTGGATCACCCCTTGTATAAGGTAACATTGTAAAAAAGTGAACCAGTGATCTCCCTGGCATTAAAGCGAGTGGATCCTGCAACCACTTGAGTTAATGAAAACAAGCTTGCACTCAGCTGAATATCTCTGTACATACTTGAGGAATGCCAGAAATCATTACTGTAGTCTTGCTTCAAGACCCTGGACCCCCCCCCCCAACGTTATGTATCTGCTTCATCCTGTTGATAGAGTGTTGACTACATGTACATGTCTGTTTACTTTATTCTTTACTTCTTTAAATAAAAATTCGTTTATTCTTTATTTTCCACACCATTTTTTCTGCATTTTCAGGTTAAACATTCTCAAGGAGCTAGAAAGAATCAAGAAAGGTTTCCAAGCCAGTCTAAATAACAATACATCCCCAGTTGGCAAGACACTACTGGACATAAAGAACCTAGTGAAGACTCCTGATTGGCAGAAATCACGGTTTTGGGCGGTAAGTGCTTACTCTTAACTCCTCCTACCTCATGAATATTTATGACATAAAGAACCTAGTGAAGACTCCTGATTGGCAGAAATCACGGTTTTGGGCAGTAAGTGCTTACTCTTAACTCCTCCTACCTCATGAATATTTATGACATAAAGAACCTAGTGAAGACTCCTGATTGGCAGAAATCACGGTTTTGGGCAGTAAGTGCTTACTCTTAACTCCTCCTACAATGTACCTCATGAATATTTATGACATAAAGAACCTTGTAAAGACTCCTGATTGGCAGAAATCACGGTTTTGGGCAGTAAGTGCTTACTCTTAACTCCTCCTACAATGTACCTCATGAATATTTATGACATAAAGAACCTTGTAAAGACTCCTGATTGGCAGAAATCACGATTTTGGGCAGTAAGTGCTTACTCTTAACTCCTCCTACCTCATGAATATTTATGACATAAAGAACCTAGTGAAGACTCCTGATTGGCAGAAATCACGGTTTTGGGCAGTAAGTGCTTACTCTTAACTCCTCCTACAATGTACCTCATGAATATTTATGACATAAAGAACCTTGTAAAGACTCCTGATTGGCAGAAATCACGGTTTTGGGCAGTAAGTGCTTACTCTTAACTCCTCCTACAATGTACCTCATGAATATTTATGACATAAAGAACCTAGTGAAGACTCCTGATTGGCAGAAATCACGGTTTTGGGCAGTAAGTGCTTACTCTTAACTCCTCCTACCTCATGAATATTCATGACATAAAGAACCTAGTGAAGACTCCTGATTGGCAGAAATCACGGTTTTGGGCTGTAAGTGCTTACTCTTAACTCCTCCTACCTCATGAATATTTATGACATAAAGAACCTAGTGAAGACTCCTGATTGGCAGAAATCACGGTTTTGGGTGGTAAGTGCTTACTCTTAACTCCTCCTACCTCATGAATATTTATGACATAAAGAACCTAGTGAAGACTCCTGATTGGCAGAAATCACGGTTTTGGGTGGTAAGTGCTTACTCTTAACTCCTCCTACCTCATGAATATTCATGACATAAAGAACCTTGTGAAGACTCCTGATTGGCAGAAATCACGGTTTTGGGCGGTAAGTGCTTACTCTTAACTCCTCCTACCTCATGAATATTTATGACATAAAGAACCTAGTGAAGACTCCTGATTGGCAGATATCACGGTTTTGGGCAGTAAGTGCTTACTCTTAACTCCTCCTACCTCATGAATATTTATGACATAAAGAACCTAGTGAAGACTCCTGATTGGCAGAAATCACGGTTTTGGGCAGTAAGTGCTTACTCTTAACTCCTCCTACCTCATGAATATTTATGACATAAAGAACCTAGTGAAGACTCCTGATTGGCAGAAATCATGGTTTTGGGCGGTAAGTGCTTACTCTTAACTCCTCCTACCTCATGAATATTTATGACATAAAGAACCTAGTGAAGACTCCTGATTGGCAGAAATCACGGTTTTGGGTGGTAAGTGCTTACTCTTAACTCCTCCTACCTCATGAATATTCATGACATAAAGAACCTTGTGAAGACTCCTGATTGGCAGAAATCACGGTTTTGGGCGGTAAGTGCTTACTCTTAACTCCTCCTACCTCATGAATATTTATGACATAAAGAACCTAGTGAAGACTCCTGATTGGCAGAAATCATGGTTTTGGGCAGTAAGTGCTTACTCTTAACTCCTCCTACCTCATGAATATTTATGACATAAAGAACCTAGTGAAGACTCCTGATTGGCAGAAATCACGGTTTTGGGCAGTAAGTGCTTACTCTTAACTCCTCCTACCTCATGAATATTTATGACATAAAGAACCTAGTGAAGACTCCTGATTGGCAGAAATCATGGTTTTGGGCGGTAAGTGCTTACTCTTAACTCCTCCTACCTCATGAATATTTATGACATAAAGAACCTAGTGAAGACTCCTGATTGGCAGAAATCACGGTTTTGGGTGGTAAGTGCTTACTCTTAACTCCTCCTACCTCATGAATATTCATGACATAAAGAACCTTGTGAAGACTCCTGATTGGCAGAAATCACGGTTTTGGGCGGTAAGTGCTTACTCTTAACTCCTCCTACCTCATGAATATTTATGACATAAAGAACCTAGTGAAGACTCCTGATTGGCAGATATCACGGTTTTGGGCAGTAAGTGCTTACTCTTAACTCCTCCTACCTCATGAATATTTATGACATAAAGAACCTAGTGAAGACTCCTGATTGGCAGAAATCACGGTTTTGGGCAGTAAGTGCTTACTCTTAACTCCTCCTACCTCATGAATATTTATGACATAAAGAACCTAGTGAAGACTCCTGATTGGCAGAAATCACGGTTTTGGGCAGTAAGTGCAGGGGCGTAGCCAGCAAATGTAAAAAAGGGTGCGAAATTTAGGGTTTGAATCACAGAGAGCAAAGCATGCCCCAAAAAATGGTGTATGGAGTTCATAATTTTTTACTTTTAGTCTGTATATGGTGCATTCTAAGCATTTCAAAGTATAATTTGTTTATGCTTTTTCAACAAATTTTACAAAATTGCTCTTTTCTTTTTTTGTTGGGGTAGAGGGGGTTCGATCGAACCCATTGCACCTCCCCCTGGCTAGACCCATGAAGTGCATACTCTTAACTCCTCCTCCCTCAGTGCATACTCTTAACTCCTCCTCCCTCAGTGCATACTCTTAACTCCTCCTCCCTCAGTGCATACTCTTAACTCCTCCTCCCTCAGTGCATACTCTTAACTCCTCCTCCCTCAGTGCATACTCTTAACTCCTCCTCCCTCAGTGCATACTCTTAACTCCTCCTCCCTCAGTGCATACTCTTAACTCCTCCTCCCTCAGTGCATACTCTTAACTCCTCCTCCCTCAGTGCATACTCTTAACTCCTCCTACTTATGAATATTTATCATTAATCAGATTCAAAAAATGATGTGGCTTAAAATAGTTAAATAAAATGTTTGAAAAGCTATCTTCTGATAATAGTGAAGAATTGTGAATAAATTGTTTCATGATATAAGTAGTATTTTTACGATATACAAATACATGTAAAGTTCAAAGTGCATCTTGATATTAATAGTGGCAATATTATTTGCAATCTTTAATCATATTGTATGTTTGTTTTTTTAAAATTAATCAACAAAGAACATTATTATATTTCAGAAAGAGCAATTATCTCCAAGATGTCGGAAATGCGGTCAAGATTTTAGTCTTCTACGTTCCAAAAATGCTTGCGTCATATGTGGCCATGCTGTATGCGCATCATGCTCCAACAAAGAACTTATTGTGTATTTGCCAAATGATGAGGAGACCCAAGATGATCAGAAGGATGTTCAAGTCTCTATTATCAAAATAGTTGGGGTGAGTAGAGTTTTAAAATAGTAGGAGTAAGTAAATTCTGATTGGCAGAAGTTAAAGATTTCTACAGTAAAATTGCTATACGTATAATAGTCAACATTGAACACCTATCTCTAATGAACACCCATATTTCGCTTCAACTCAGATAAAATACGATTAAAGTAACTTTAATGTGGTCATTTAGATCATATCAGTTACAGAACTGAAATAATATTTGAGATTTTCAGTGTAGAATTTTCTATTACAAGGTTCAGATCTTAAGGTACATGTACTAGTATTCCATTTTGCATTTTGAAATATCACCTTTCAGTGTCCAGAAAAAGAACCTGATGTTTGTGTCTATCTACGTCTTTGTCGCTCATGTGCTGAATACATCAAAGATATTCAAGTCAGAAATCACCACCAGGGGGAGCTTAAGGTCAATCACGATGACCTTATATGGAAACCATTAATGCCTGTCGTAACAAATCTACGAGAAACGCAGAAACGCATTGATGAACAGTTGCCCATGGTAAGAAATTGTTTCACAAAAGTATTTGAACAAAATTATTTCATGCTCTTTCTCCTCTGTTAAATCTTATTGAAAAATATGTTAGTGCATTTTTGATGAAACATTCCCCACATTTTTTTTATTTTCAATTCTTTTTACTGGGACATTCTACCCATTCTTATTTCAGTTTTACTTAACAGTTAATGTAATGCACCCTCTTTTTCTAAAACACAGGTGAAACAACGGCCGCACTGAAATACCATTGAAATATAATTTTCAAACGTTTTATCAAGCAAAACTATGAAGATTGAAAGGTATTAAAATGCCTCCTTTAGCCTAAATTGGTTTCATTTGTAAACTTTCATGCCTTTTATTTTGCAGTATCAAGAGTTAATTGAAGGGCTCCAGATCAGCTCCAGTGCACCAAGGTCACTGCCAAGGAACCAGAATAACATGCAGATACTTGCAAAGGCACAGGTATGTACATTTTTAGAAATCATATGGTCGAGGCTGAATTAGTAAGCGACAAGAAAATATAGTGATACTGCTGATGAAACATATCAGTAGCCAACATTGTTAGAGCATCTATGACGTTTTTAACAACCTAAATTACTCAGACTTTTATAAGGCATAATTTTCACATTCAAGCAGATACTTGCAAAAGCACAGGTATGTACGTTTTTAGAAATCATAGGATCGAGGCTCGATTAGTAAGCGACAAGAAAATATAGTGAGACTGCTGATGAAGCATATATCAGTAGCCAACATTGTTAGAGCATCGATGACGTTTTTAATAACCTAAATTACTCCGACTTTTATAAGGCATAATTTTCACATTTAAGCAGATACTAGCATAGACACAGGTATGTTTTACAAAGTATTTTTAGAAAGAATGAAATCTAGGTCCGGTGGTACTTAAGCGACAAGAATACATAAATAACTCAGACTTTTATGAAGATATAATTTTCAAATCCTGACACATATTTTATTTATTGAATAACACGTTTTTGTAGGCGGATTTATCTGACCACTTTACTTCCCTCGTGTTAGGTGTGCAGGAGCTAAAGAAAGTACGCCCTCAAACAAAGGGCCAATCAAAACTACTTAAGAATATTACAAAGGTGAGTTCATTTGATAATGTTAGTAAAAAAATATTAAAATGTTTGAGCCTGTTAAATTTGACAGAGTCACATCACTTGAATTGTAGCAGCAGCAGAAGTAGAATAAGTGAAAGATTAGATAGGTTTTACTGTAGTTTCAACATCGATTGTCACCCTTCTGGGACTGTTCCCAATCCAAATTCTAAATTGAAATGATGCTAAAATATTGGTTGCAGATTGCAGTTGGTTCCATGTACATATTATTATTCTTAGCTCAATCACAATTTTGTTCCAGAGTAAATGTGCTTACTACATGGAGAACATGTCATCCAACAGAGAGCTACATAGGAAACTGGAGGAGACAGCCTCATCAGAAACACTTGAGGCAATTCAGGGAATAGTGGATAAAAATGTAAGTACTTTCTGAAATACATAGTAAATGTGCCTATTATATGGAGAACATGTCATCCAACAGAGAGCTACATAGGAAACTGGAGGAGACAGCCTCATCAGAAACACTTGAGGCAATTCAGGGAATAGTGGATAAAAATGTAAGTACATTCTGAAATACATAGTAAATGTGTCTATTATATGGAGAACATGTCATCCAACAGAGAGCTACATAGGAAACTGGAGGAGACAGCCTCATCAGAAACACTTGTGGCAATTCAGGGAATAGTGGATAAAAATGTAAGTACTTTCTGAAATACTGGAGGCAATTCAGGGAATAGTGGATAAAATGTAAGTACTTTCTGAAATACTGGAGGCAATTCAGGGAATAGTGGATAAAAATGTAAGTACTTTCTGAAATACTGGAGGCAATTCAGGGAATAGTGGATAAAAATGTAAGTACTTTCTGAAATACTGGAGGCAATTCAGGGAATAGTGGATAAAAATGTAAGTACTTTCTGAAATACTGGAGGCAATTCAGGGAATAGTGGATAAAAATGTAAGTACTTTCTGAAATACTGGAGGCAATTCAGGGAATAGTGGATAAAAATGTAAGTACTTTCTGAAATACATAGTAAATGCGTCTATTATATGGAGAACATGTCATCCAACAGAGAGCTACATAGGAACTGCAGGAGACAGCCTCATCAGAAACACTGGAGGCAATTCAGGGAATAGTGGATAAAAATGTAAGTACATTCTGAAATACTTGAGGCAATTCAGGGAATAGTGGATAAAATGTAAGTACTTTCTGAAATACTGGAGGCAATTCAGGGAATAGTGGATAAAATGTAAGTACATTCTGAAATACTTGAGGCAATTCAGGGAATAGTGGATAAAAATGTAAGTACTTTCTGAAATACTGGAGGCAATACAGGGAATAGTGGATAAAAATGTAAGTACTTTCTGAAATACTGAAGGCAATTCAGGGAATAGTGGATAAAAATGTAAGTACTTTCTGAAATACTGGAGGCAATTCAGGGAATAGTGGATAAAAATGTAAGTACTTTCTGAAATACTGGAGGCAATTCAGGGAATAGTAGATAAAAATGTAAGTACTTTCTGAAATACTGGGGGCAATTCAGGGAATAGTGGATAAAAATGTAAGTACTTTCTGAAATACTGGAGGCAATTCAGGAAATAGTGGATAAAAATGTAAGTACTTTCTGCAGAAATACTGTAGGCAATTCAGGGAATAGTGGATAAAAATATAAGTACTTTCTGAAATACTGGAGGCAATTCAGGGAATAGTGGATAAAAATGTAAGTACTGTCTGAAATACTGGAGGCAATTCAGGGAATAGTGGATAAAAATGTAAGTACTGTCTGAAATACTGGAGGCAATTCAGGGAATAGTGGATAAAAATGTAAGTACTTTCTGAAACACTGGAGGCAATTCAGGGAATAGTGGATAAAAATGTAAATACATTCTGAAATACTGGAGGCAATTCAGGGAATAGTGGATAAAAATGTAAGTACATTCTGAAATACTGGAGGCAATACAGGGAATAGTGGATAAAAAAGTAAGTACTTTCTGAAATACTTGAGGCAATACAAGGAATAGTGGATAAAAAATGTAAGTACTTTCTGAAATACTTGAGGCAATACAAGAATAGTGGATAAAAATGTAAGTACTTTCTGAAATACTGGAGGCAATATAAGATATAAAAGATAGAAATATAAGAACATTTGTACATTTCAACATTGGAGGTAATACCAGAGATAAAAGATAAAATGTAAGTCCTGGTTTTGTAATTGTTAACCATATAATTGTTCACCATTTTGATATAATAAAAGCTGCGAGTGATAACTAAAATTTCTTTGTTCTTATTCATGTTTTATGGAAATATCACACATACTGTATTGTACATTGGAAAATATAAATCATAAATTATCATAATGTGGCCCATGGGCAAGCCCATTGGTTGTTTTTTTGAAAGCCCACGGTCATCTCATTCAAGTATGAATCTCTGTAAACCATCTAATGTTCATTTTTATATTTCAGTCCATCAACAGTGGCTATCTCTCCCTTAAGCAGCTTCTATTTGAAACACTGCATCTCTGCACTAAACACAACTTCAATGATGATATACTAAAACAAATGATGTCCACTGAAGAGGTATAGCATTTAAGCCATTTTGTTGTATAAAGTTGAATGAACTGCAGGCCCATAGCCAGGATTTGCCAAGGGGGGGGGGGTCACTTTTTGATAAATTACAGGGAGGTCACTTTTGACAACTTTGGCCCAAAAATGCCAAAATCACTTGGAAAGTGCTCAGAATGGTGAAAACTGCATGATTTTGAAAGAGTATTTGGCCAGGGGAGAGGGGGTTCACTCGAACCCTCTGAAACCTCCCCTGGCTATGGGCCTGTTTTGTATATTTTTAGTGCATTGTCTGATTTTTGTGCATTTCTATACAATTTAGAGTGTTGACTACATGCCTGTTTACTTTATTCCTTGCTAATTCCCCTCTTTTCTCACTAAAATTTGAATGAAGTGTCTGATTTTCTTTCATTTCTATACAATTTGGAGTGTTTACTACATGCCTGTTTATTTTATTCTTTGTTGATTCCACTCTTTCCACTGTATTTTGCATTTGAAAACATAACCACCATACATTTCTAAGGTGCTCCATGGTGAACTACTCGATTCCACACTGTTTTGTAAACTTTGACCAAATACATGTAGTCAAATCTTTTTTGCATTTTAATACACTTTAGAGTGTCATCTACACCCCTGCTACTTAATTCCTTGTTTAATTCACTTTACACCATCATCTGCATTTTGAAACATATCCATCATTTAATTAAGGTGCTCCAGGTTGAACTACAGAGATGTATAAAATCATCAGGGGAAGACTGGGAGGAACACAACAAATGTATCGACCAACTATTGCAGATGCAACTTAAGGTAGTATTTGTTTAATGTTTATTGAGCATAACATTGCACAAAGGGCAACATTTTTTTTTTTTTATTAAAAATATTTATTCTCTAAAATTAAAATCAAATACATGTACATAATAACACTTGACACTTTTAATAAGTGTATCAGCGTGAAAACATTTAAATATTAACCTGAGTCACATGGAAATGAGAAAAAAGAACAATTTAAAAATATCTACTCAGTTAAATGAGAATAAAATTGATAACAATATATAAAATCTACATATATGTTTGTCAGTAATTCAGTTCATCATAGGTTGATGTCATATGAATTTTAAAATTCTTTTTAAAACAGTTAATGGAAGGTAATGTTTTCAAAGAAGTTGGCAGATTATTCCAAAGCTGAGCACCTGAATATTTTATTGAGTTTTGACCTATAATTGTTCTAAATTTTTTCATGTGAAGACAATTTTGGAATCTTGTCTCATGTGCGTGAAATATCAAATTTGGAGTAAAATAATTTTCAAATATGTCAAAAGTAAAGCCATCGGGTTTTGTTGTGTATTGATAAAGAAATTTTGCAACTTCAAGCTTATGTATGTCAAAAATATCTAGAAAATTGAGTTGTTTAAAAAGAGGTGGGCTATGTGCTAAAAAGTCAGAATTTGTGATTATTCTCACTGCACGTTTTTGTAACAAAAGCAATTTATTCGAAAAGGTTTTACACGCATTACCCCATATGATGTTGCAATAGTTCAATTGTGATAATATAAGTGAATTATAAATGGTAATCATGTTTTTTTGTATTCAATTTATATTTAATCTTTCCCAGAATACCAATAATTTTAGATATTTTATGTATAACCTTATTTATGTGCTCATTCCATTTTAATTTACAATCAATTGTTACTCCCAGAAAATTTGTATGCATTACTCTTTCAAGAATATTACCCCCTATTTTTATATTAAAATCTTGATTTTCATCAATATTTAACTTTGATCTTGTAAATAGCATATAATTTGTCTTGTCTATATTCAAAGAAAGTTTATTTGATTTGAACCATTATAATGTCTTTTCCATTTCTAGATTTACATTTCTATATAGATCATGAAGGTCTTTGTTTGAACATAAGATATTTGTATCATCTGCGAAAATAGTAAATTTAAGAATATTTGAAACCTTATGTAAATCATTTATATAGAGAATGAATAAGATTGGGCCTAAAACAGACCCTTGAGGTACACCACAAGTGATAATATTTTCTTCAGATAGAGTGTAAATAGCTTTCAAACCAATTTTTTGCAACATTGCAAATTCCAAAATTTTCAAGTTTTTTTAGAAGAATTTCATGATTTACTGTATCGAAGGCTTTCGATAAATCTAAAAATATTCCAATAGCATGAGTTGAGCTTTTATCTAGAGATATCCTCACTTCTTCCAAGAAGGAGAGGATTGCGATATAAGTTGAATAATGTTTTCTAAAACCAAACTGATTTTTGAATAAAAGTTTGTATGTTTCAATTAATGTTATTAATCTATTTTTCATGATCTGTTCTAAGAGTTTAGAAAAGACACTAAGTAGAGATATAGGTCTATAGTTTGAAAATTTTGAAGTATTTCCTTTTTTAAAAAGTGGGATAACTTTGGCTGTTTTCAACTTAGTGGGAAAAACCCCTGTATGGATAGACAAGTTTGCTATATGAACAAATGGTAAAAGTAAGTTATTTCTTGCATGTTTAACTACTATTGGTTTGAATTCATCTAGGCCTGGTGAGCAATCTTTTAAAACTGACATTAAATTTTCGATTTCATTCTTACTCACAGGAGTAAGTTCTAAAGAAGATTCATTGATTTCCATAAATGTAAAAGGGGGACGTTTTTGAACTTATCTTTGATGCTAATTTAGGTGCAACATTAGAAAAAAATCTGTTAAAATGATTAGCAATATCTTTTCTATCAGTCAAAGTATCATCTCCATCATAAAATTTATCTGGAAAAACTGAATCACATTTTTTTGCGGTGAAGTAAGTCATTTATAACTGACCAAGTATTCTTTCTTTGAAAGAGTATAAATCCCTTCAAATCATATGAACTGCAGTATATCAAACTAGTATACCACAAAAATTAGGTCTTGTGTTCGAAATAGATGAGCTCCTTTTATTCATTTATTCAGTATTTACAATCATCATTTTACAATGTGTGTAATGGGCCTCATATAAAAATTCCAAATTGTACAATAATTTAAAATGTCAACAATTTCAATTTCAGGACCATAAATTGATCAGGCCATCAAGAAGGCAGACCCAACAATATGGGGTGACCCATATACTTAACATTATGTGCCAGCGCTCTTCAGTTGTAACGCAACAGATATTTTTACAACTATGTGCCAAGACCCCTGATAAACGCTTTAAAGCATCAAAGAATGCTTTAGAATCATTGAATAAATACATTAACAGTAATAGCCCAAGTTGACCCTATTATCAGTCAGAAGTGAACTTTACATGCTAGAGTTACAGGCCCATAGCCAGGGGGCTCTGGGGGTTTGAGGGAGCCCCCCTGGCCAAAAATTCTTTCAAAATCATGCAGTTTTTCACCATTTTGATCACTTTTAAAGTGATTTTGGTCGATTTTCAAACATTTAGTTTGGGACAACCCTCTATACTTTTACTTGCATTGCTAAATAGGTGTTAGCAAGAAGAAATGAATAAGCAAATCGTGATATCATTAATAAACAGTATGACAAATTGGATTATTTGCATCCTCCTACATATAACGAGGGTCCAAAGAAAATTTGTTTGAAGACCATTCAGATGAAATGTAATTTCAAGACTTTTTGGACAACCTTTATATTTGTAAGCATGGGCAATATATATTTTGCTAACTAATGGGTGATGAGTAAAAAAGACTGTACTTTCTAATAGAGATCATAAATATGTACATTGCTCATTTGCTAATCAAACTTAACTATGATAAAATTAATAAAGAATGTGTAACTTAAATTTACAGATTGGTGAATATCGAATTAGACGCCCAAAATATTTCATGTGAAGGAATGATTGAACTGTCAATATTTACATAAAATCTGAAATATTTTTTGATATCGTAAAATATAAATCATGTCTACATGTATGTTTATAAACTTTTCATACTTTTTTCTGTGTATGCTAATTGAAGGTGCAAATTGTTAGGTTGTTGTTTATTGTTTATACATTTATATTGATATACAAGATATTGTCAATTTGTTATAATTTTTAAAATTGGATATATGTAAAAACAAACAAAATCATATATATATGTATATATATATATATTTTTTTTTTATTTATATTTCAAGTAATTCAAGTTTACATATGTGTATGCAAAATAAAACACATAACATTGTAAAATATTTTATTATGCACCAATTTCTAATCCCCCATCTCGTCACATTTATTTGATATATGATAATATTACTTTAATTTGAAGTGATCAAAGAAAATCATATTTTTGATAAAATACATACATATAATATACAACAAATTATTATCTACTTATTGTGTAGTTACACTTATTGTGTAGTTACACTCATTGTGTAGTTCCACTTATTGTGTAGTTACGTAATATTGTGTAGTTACACTTATTGTGTAGTTCCACTTATTGTGTAGTTCCACTTTTTGTGTAGTTACGTAATATTGTGTAGTTACACTTATTGTGTAGTTACACTTATTGTGTAGTTACACTTATTGTGTAGTTACGTAATATTGTGTCGTTATGCAAATTATGTAGGTACTCCTATTGTGTATTTGCAATTTGTTACGCAATATTGTGTAATTACGTAATATTGTCTAGCATTGCATAGTTACAATAAACTAAATGTGTTACACTAAAACTTAGTCTATTGTAACTACTTAATGAACTTGTTGTGTAATTACACTATACTTTATCATGTAGTTACACTGAAGCTTATATATTGTGTAATAACACATAAAGTTAGCACCATATATTTGTATATATTATATTATATATATATATATATTTGTGTATATATATATTGTATTGCAATTTCTATACAATTGTTTATTGTGGCACCAATATTTATTTATTGTATTGCAAGGTCACCAGATACAATAATAATTACGTTATGTGAATTTATTTTTATAGCTTTCTAATGGTACATATAGAAATCAAGCTAGACATCCAAGTTTACAGTACATGAACTCAAGATAAGATTTTTATTAAAATAACCTGAATAGTACACAGCCAATCTGCATCAGTACTGTACAGTACAGTTTTGGCTATGGTACCATAAAATGTGGCACAATGCAGTACTGTAGACTAAAAACAGTACCATAAGGTACCTTGAACATTGTATGGTACTATACTCAAACGGTACCGTACATTACAATACTCTTAACATACCGTACAGTACTGTGGATTGGGGTTGTATGTCATGGATTAAAGTAGAGCTGATATGTATAAAACACATTATAGTGTTTTTATTGCTTAGAGTTGAGCTTTGTACAAGAATATGATTTTTACATTGACAGTAGTATATTCAGTACAATTTTTGTGATTCTTTATCATACAGGGTGAGCAGAAAATTCAAGTCATCTTCAACCTCATCGATATTTGACCCTTTTGTTTTTTTGTATACCTAGAGTCAGCTTATGTATAAGAAATGTATTGAATATCAAGCCTGTACATCAATTGTGAAAGTTGAATTGGAGAGTCAAAGAAAAATCCAATTTTGCAAAAATTACCTTATTTTTTGCTCACCCCGTTCATTTAATGTAATGTACAGTGTTATTCAAAAGGTTATTTGGTTTGTATAGAAGTTAATATGTTATTGTAGGTTTGGATATGATATTTATCCTAAGGGAAATATACATATAAAATTGAGGGACTATGGGATAAACATGACATCCAAACCTCACCATAATATGATGTACCATGTACTGAAAAGATAATGTACCATGTACTGAAAAGATAATGTACCATGCACTGAAAAGATAATGTACCATGTACTGAAAAGATAATGTACCATGTACTGAAAAGATAATGTACCATGTACTGAAAAGATAATGTACCATGCACTGAAAAGATAATGTACCATGTACTGAAAAGATAATGTACCATGTACTGAAAAGATAATATATACTGAGAAGTTATAATGAAAGAAATACACACATCTACTTTATGTTATGTGTATGTAATTTTTGCGCATTTGGCAAAGTGACTATAATGCTAGTCACTGAGGCGTAAATCAAAGGAATTGTGGATGATTTCCGCATGCCTTGAATTCAGCTGTCTTTAAAATGATTGTATGTACATTGGATAGTTGTTGGTGAGTCTATAACCCCACCAACCCACTTAATGATTTAAATAATTAAAGAATTCATGAATCGTAATTTACAATATATTCAGTAAACATCATCCCATTCCATTTTTCTTAAAGCTTTGTAGTATATTGCAAGTGACATTAAAGTAAAACCTGTCTTAATGAACACCTCTCTCTAGTGAACACCTGTGTCTAGTGAACACCTCCCTCTTGTCAACACCTGTCTTAGTGAACACCTCTCTCTAGTGAACACCTGTGTCTAGTGAACACCTCTTCTCAGCACATACTCCACTGACTTCTATATAAAATTGCCTCTCTGTAGTGAACACCTACCTATAGTAAACACAATCTTTGGCTCCATAGGTGTTAGCTCTGTACAGGTTTTACTGCATACGATAATATTGACATCATATATGATATTGATAATCTGGAATGTATATCTATTTGCCTAATTTCATTTTTTACCCAATAGCCTTATTTTGGATAAGATAATTTAATTTGTCTATCCTTGGACATGTACTTTTCAAATTGAATTTTTCTTTAATTTTTTGATAACATAACAGTTATATAAAATTAACAATAATCTAAAATTAACAACAGGCAAAAATGAAAATCAGACTAATTACCATATACATTATACAATAGTACTATTTACAGTAATGTTTTATATCATTTTAAAGCTCATCATGTAGTTTGGTACACTTCCCTTCAACATTTTGGTAACAATGGTGCATTTGCCAAATTTATTTTGGGCGGTGTATGTCTATGTACAAATAAATGCAAATATATGAGCTAAATACAGGGTGTAGATATACAATTGTAGGTATTATATCTTAATTAATTTGATGATCAACTGTCACATTTGGGAAATACGAGGGTTGATCCAAAAGTCAGATTTATTGTTTATTTTTACACAAAATGAAACTACTATATATGGGATAATTGTGGCCACATATGAACAATATTCATAAAGTATTAAGATTTTCAGAGCAAACGGTTCAGAACTTTTGTATCAACCCTCGTATATAGGTGGTGATAACAATTACAGTATAAATTACAATGTAATTGTTATAATAATCAAATTTAATTATTATATAGGTAGGGTTACCTGAATTTAGTTGGTCCAATATATGCCTATTTTTCCTTATTTCTGTATGGTATTCATTCAAGATTAGCTCACTCATTGATGAAGATTAAAAACTTCAATTCTATATTTTACTAAGTGTATATAACCTCATATTCATGAGTTAAATCAAATTAATTTCTACATATAGTGAAAAAACCATCTCAATTTAATAGGAGAGCAAAATATACCAGCACTGGGTAACTTTTTGTGAACCCCAAATTCCTTCATAATAAGAAACCAATAATAAATATGTATCTCTGTGCATCAGATTCAACATGTAGTTATTATGCATCTATTCTTGATAAAGGGGAAAAAGACCCCTTGGAAGATTTGTCTACCCTTACATGTAAATCTCCAGTTTATACTTTGGCCTCTGCATATCATTTCATTGCATTCATGTTTCAAGTTATAGAATTGATGTCTCTATTTTGTGATCAAAAAATTACTACCCACTTAAATTCCGCGTTCTATTTTCATTATCAATTATTTTTTTGAAAAGTCGAATGTTTCGCCTTTAGAGCCAGGAGTTAGAGCAGTATCCGGGTCTTGCACTAAAGTGGCTTTCAAATATCCCTTTTTCAACGCATCACTCAATTCTATTTTCTCCATTGTTTCTGTATCATAGTACACGCCCTCTTCTTTATCGATTAATCCCGATGTAATGGCGTCTTGGAATGTTACACGCGTTTTCTTTTTCTTGTCGACTACTGCTGAGATTGCATATGTGTTGGTAATGACCTCTGATTCGCTTTCGTCGAGTTCATCGAATTCAACGGTTAGGAGGCCGAGGTCGATTGCATCTGCGAGTGCAATTTTTTCTTTTGTTTCTGGGTTGATATAGTAACCATTCTCTTCATCGTAGATTCCTGCATGGAAAAATATAGATGGCAGTATTAGAAAAACACATCAAATCATAATAAATATGTCTAACAGTAGCTATGTCAAAAACAGGCACAGTTATACGAGGAAAAGAAACTATGCCAATCAACATAACTATGGCAGAGAAAAAGTATGCCAAACAAATTATATAAATCAACAATTTTATCAAAAACAGTTATTATAAACTGCAAACTATGTCAGAAAAAATCACGAACAAATTACAAATGTACGAGTCATTTAACAATTTCTTCCAAAATGTTAGATTACAATCTATGCTAGATGAAATATGTCAAACAACAAAAATGTCAAAATAGTCAAATAAATACCTGCGTCAATGGCCTCATCAATGGTCAGCTCCTCATCATTTCTATAGTCGATTACACCCATCACTGTATATGGCTTAGTCTCACGTCTAGAACATAATATGCGGAGTAATGGGTTGGTATTTCAGATATTGCCTTCATAAGAGAGGAATGAAATTAAAGGGATTACACGTGGCCCAATCTTTCATGTAGGCCTTATTTATACATCTGAGATCTTTGGGACCTTTAAATCTTTAAAGGTTAAAAAATGGACTTTCAATATTTTAGAATTACATAAATGTCACTATTACCAAGTAACTTTTTAATATTTTTATATAGAGCCAAAACTTTTGATTTTTGACTATGATGTGAGCAAAAAACTGAAAAAGTTCCCCTCAGCTCATGCTCTCTCCTTTAGTACCCCTTTATGCCTGAGATTCATTTACCTTATTGTTAACTTTAGGATTCCCAATGATTGCTTCTTCTCTGCTGTTTTCTCTGTCTTCTTGGCTTCTACCAGAATGAGTCCTTGAGTCATTGCCATAGGGATAGGCATTTTCTCACCAGTTTTCCTAAATAAAAAAATAATGGCATTTTAGGGTGCCAGGAAAGAATAAGGAATACTTTAAATAAGTTCATAGTCTGGTCATATTAAATCCGTTTATTAATGTTCATTAGACGTTTCGAATGCAAATTGCATCCTTGATTAAATTGAAAACAGTTGAAATGAAAAAATAAATAAGAATTAATAAAACAAAAAATTGTGATAAAGTCTGTTACAATGAACATTAATAAATGGAAAGAATAAGGAATGTAAAATATTTGGAACGACCTTCTCAAAAAGAAGAAGGTCAATTAATATCCTAAATATAATTTTACCTCGCGTAAACTATCCACCACTTAATCCACATTCAAACTCCCATTAAAGACCAAAAAGATACATTTTAAATCATTAAGATCCTCTCAGAATCCAAAATGCAAAATCTGTAATATTCTTTAGGGGAAATGTGGCATTCTGAGTATGTGAATGTATTGTTACCTGTTAATGTACATGCCAAGTTTAGGATTAATAATTCCTCTCTTTACTGCATCTTTCATAGAGATTTCCTCATCAGTTCTGGGGTCCATAACTGCCCTAATGACAAACTTGGTTGATTCTTCTCTCTCTGCTGATGTGTACTGACTCGTCTCAGCTGTTGTACTTTCCCTACGAACCTATATGTAGAAGTTGTATAGGTCAGAACATGCATATCACCAAGTTTTCAATTCTTTTTCATTGAATTTCCTATTTGACCTTGACATAGATGTAACCTGTTTTAGTATGTTAAGTCCTAGTAGGACATGGGGCAGTTACATTATGTATACTCACTGTTAATAGTGTCCATGTAAAGATGAAGAAATGCTTCTTGAAGGTTTTCAAAACCTTTTCTGAACCATTTCAAAATACATTTTCTGGGAAAGAAATGGAGTTCTGCAAGGATTGATTAAAACTCATACTTTCAAAGATTATAGATTTGAATAGAGATTTTATTTACATGTATTTTTAAAATAAAGCTTCAAACATGAATGTAAGTTTGTAAAAAACAACTTCAAACAAATTTTTTCTATTCAATAATCTTGTTAAGTAAACTGTTAATGAGCTATAACAGAACTTGTAAAATATATGTTATGGTTTCACTCTTTTTATGTAAATCCTCCGGACCTACATGTACTATAAATTCACACTATATACCTGATATGCCATATACATACCATGTCAAAGTCACAATATCTATGCCATTCACTAAACCCAGGATATCACAACCAATGCAAACCATGTTAAATTAACATCATATAATACCTGTAGCTGTACTACTTTGGAGCACAACCAATACTATCTAAGTTAAACTCTAAGTTAAACTGCTATGTTCTAAGCCCGGGATTAAACCCAATATCAACCACAAGTTAAATTCAAACTTTACATGTGAAGAGGAAATACATCAAACTTAGACGTTTGGTGTTATTTCGTCATGAGGCTTTTTCAACATTGGCTTATGTTTTCAATTCACACATTCCGCCGTGTTTGATATTTAAAAATATATTGAAATCTCCAATTGGCGAGATCTAAATCCAAAATGCCAACCCTGGGAATAATCAGCCATGGTCGAAGTAGCCCCATTTTGAAGTAATCCCACATGTCGAAGTTCGATGTATTTCCTATATATGCCAAGTACTTCCCTTGGGAAACTATCTAAATACAAATCATGTTAAAATCAAAAAATAAATGCTGTAAAGTATACTAGGGTATCACAACCAATTGAAACCTATAGTTGTTATTTAAACCACACATGCTTTGTAGTGTACTAGGCACTAGCACTAGACATCCATGCCAACCAATGCAAACCATGTTAAATTCACAGTAAAAACTAAATATAGCAATGTACTTAACATGGTGATACACCCAAAATCAACCATGTTAAAGTCATCGTAGGGAACACGCATGTATGCTCATATGTACTTATTCCGGAAAAATACCTACAACAATACAATTTTCAATTCACACTTTATATACTATGCACCAGGTAACATGAACAAAAGAAACCATTTTAATATATAATCATACTATACTATGCTATTCACCATACCCCTGTATATACACAACCAAAACAAACCATGTTAAATTCAAACTATATACACTATTGGCTATACCCCTGTACACAACCAAAACAAATCATGTTAAATTCACATTAAATATGCTATTCACTATATATACCCCTGTACACAACCAAAACAAACCATGTTAAATTCACACTACTACTGCTATGCCACAACATTTGTATAATGTGAAATTCATTTACCAAATTATTGTCTAGTCGGGTGAAACCTTCTGCCTATAGTGTAATGCAAAATTCATTAAGAAAAGCTTGAATATTATTAGTATGACATACACAATATTTTAGTCGCAAAATAATGCATACTTTATTTTAGCAGAATGAGTATTCAATATACAATTAATAGGTTAAGTCAAAAACAAGCATGTACCGTAGTATTCATATCATATAATTTACCCATATAAGAGGCCAGATCAAACATCAAGATGTCATTTTCATGGAAATGTAAAAAAAGTTCCAATCTAGTATTTTAGGGACAGTTTCAATGTAAAAAACATAATGGAAATGATATAAGATTCAATATTACTCAACAAAATAATTAAGGGGGCAAGCCTTTATAAATTATTTAAGAGATGAAAGCATTGATTTTTTGACTCGGCCCCTAACATGTCATGCACCATGCATAATAAGCTTGGAACACATTGTATGCATATATAAATTGGTTCAAAATTCTTGACAACGGAGTGGTATCGATATGGAGAACTTTTTGAACACAGGTTTCTCTTAAACCAGTCATCAAAAAAATCTAAAAATTTAACACATCGTCAATTTAATGATCATCTTTTGAATGGTAACAATATAATTTGAAAAATATATATATACTTTCATCTATATTGTTTCAGAAAACACATCAAACACTTGTTTTGTTCTTGGTATCATGTTTCTAGAGTGAAATGAAACATTTTTCCGAACCTCATTGGAACAAAGCGACATAAACACAACATGTTTAGGTCTCTCAATTTTGTAATTGTACAAAGGAAATTTGGGTTGATTTTTAAAAAGTATCTTGTTAATGAAATAAAAGGCTTATCTTGATTTTTATCTATTTTGGGGGGATTTTGTTTTAATTTTTTGAATACTTTTTTAAAATCAACCAAAAATTCCTTTGTATAACTATAATATTGAGAGGTCTAAAAGCATGTTGTATATGCTATTTTGTTCAAACAAGGTTCTGAAAGACATTTTATTTCATTCTCAAGAATTGGTAGAAAGGAGCAAAAACAATTGCACTAAAAACAAAAAATGCTACAGTTATATAAAATACATATAAATAATTTTTGCATTTAATTGTTGTCAATCAGTCAACATTACATAAAATACCGTGTTTTTTTACAGAATGTTTTCAATGATTGGTTTAAGAGAAAAACATTGTTGAATTCAGTTCTCCATATCGATACCACTCCTTTAACACAGTATAAAGCATAGATTTTGTTATGTGTCTAAATAATGTTTGTTTGTTTTTAACCCACATGGGTTTCTGAAAACAATAGTGAGGTTCCAATATTATTTTGGGTTTAAATTAACACTGTACCTTGGCACACCAATGACCAACGTGTTACATGGATAAACTTCAGTTGGAAAATATACATATTGGATGGGTTTATATTAAGTAATTCTTTTTTTTTTATCTCAGTCCATTATTAAAATTCTCAAAAATGCCCAACTGTAGTTCATCCTCCAATGTCCATTCATCTGCCCAAACGATGCAGTTAGTGGTTTTATTTATAATTCAAAAATATATTAAACTGCTTGGATCACAATATATGTACACAATATTATAGTTTATGTTTTTTTATGTTGGGTTCAGGATGTTGAATCCATTATGATTGTTTTTATTTTTTCATTTTTTATTTTTATTTTGTTTTTTTATCCACTTATTGAATCCATTATGATAACAGTCCCATAATTCCCAAACAAATATGCCATTTCCATAGCAACGCTCAACACCCAATAGGAACAGCAGGCATTTCTCCAAGCAAAGATGGCACCGACATTGCGATTAAAATATATAACAGCATCCAAATCCCGGAAAAGTAAATAAAACCTCCCCATTTATAACTGAAGTAAAAAGTTTCAATTTCCTTTGGCCACCTACGATTTCAAGTTGCATGAAAAGAAAGTGTTGTGAGTGATCATATAAAAAGAATAAAAATTGCTCTATGTGTGTACCCTCATCCTATATTAAATTTATTGTAATTTTAACAGTGCCTGGAATGAATTATTTATAACATATGGTCAGTATAGAAACAGAAACAGTGCTCTCAAGTCTCAATCTGTAAAGTTTTCATCTTGATTCCTAATAAACATGTTAATGAGAAAATGTGTATACATATTTATTGAACATCCCTCGTATTCATACTTATTGACAGTGATCTCCTCAGGATTGAAGCAACACGGTGCCGATGTGCTTTACCCTTTTCAAAATTCAAAAACTACATGTTAACATGTCAGCTCATTGGACATATCTCCAAAAGCAGTTTTGTTTGTTGCACTGTACCTCACTACCTAGAAATTAGGCATGATTGCACTGAACGAAATGCTTGGAGATTACTAATTGCAAATCTGTATGCACCCTATCAAGAACATAACTTATTGACACTATTGACATTCTATTTGACTAAAATGGGTACAATATGGATTGAACACCATTTTTTGAAAAAACTGGGGAGATCACCGCCAAACAACTGCACCAATATATATCAATGCTTTAGCCAGTCAAGGCTAAGTGCCTCGCCTGCTTCAAGACTGGAAATGCTCTTGAGTACCTGTGTATCAGAAAAGTTTAGGTGCATATAAAATAATGTAATAATGAAGAGACTTTGCTGTACATGAATGAATAACTGAATGAATTGTCTGTCATATGACTTCAGTATGAATAAAATTTGGAATATGTGATAAAAATGTTACCGAAAGGTTTGGGAGGGATGTTAGACATTGTTTCTATGTATGTTAGGTCATAGTATACAAATAGTGACTGCCTAATTTCGAGCAATAGTGTAAATGATTTCCCCTTGGGAATATCCTCTACAATGTACTATTCCCGAAGCCGCAGGCTGAGAGAATAGTACATTGTAGAGGATATTCCCAAGGGGAAATCATTTACACTATTGCTCGAAATTAGGCAGTCACTATTTGTTTTATTATATACCCTACACTGACTCTTGTCCCGTTTCCTCTGCGAAGGCCAAAAAGGCTTAGAAAGCCCCTTCCCCGGGTCCATTGTTAGCATTATAAGCTGTGACGTCATCAGATGCTCAACAGAAATTTTTGCCTCTGAGACTCTCACTTGACAAATTCAATCGCGTTTAACACGCGGAATAGATTATCATAACACTTGAAATCACACAGACGTATTGAGCTTAGGGAACTTTATACACATTGCTTATACTGTATCGTTCACGCACGTCTGTCATGGTTGACGGAGTTTATTTGTGTTTGTGCTCATCCTCCATTTTTCTGTTTTTCTGTTTTTCTGTTTCCAAGGGTAATATAAGTTGCAATCGTGACGTCAGCGGGCAATAGTTCAAATGTATATTCACGCTGACATCACATTTGAGGGAATATAACTTTCCGAGGGAAATAGTAAATCTATTTCGGAACACGTGACTAGGTATTGACCAATCAGGATTAGTGTTACATATTAAGTATATAATAATTTGGGATATTGGGATTAACCTTCCTGATAATTGTCTATGATTTATGTTCTTTGCGAACAATGCTTTGTAATACTTTAGGTCCGACTCCCTTGCAAGTGTGCCTACATATTTTAACAATTCAAAAATTAGATATCAAAGATATCCATTTGTACAGCAAAGATTTCCCCGTTATTTAATTATTACCTCAGTCTTTTGTTTCTGGAATTTAAATAAAAAGCCTTATTTTCAACATCTCTATACAATTCAGATTATGAGTTACAGTAAAACCTGTTTACTCCAAACACCTCTGGGACTGGCCGAAAGTCTTCAGATTAGTAGGTGTCCACATTACAAGGTTTCAAAAACATGTAAGTCATTGATTGAGAGAACACAATTTAGAAACCAAGAAAAAGTGTTCACATTAAGAGGTGTTCAGATTAGAGAGATGTTCGGATATACAGGTTTCACTGTCAATGACTCATAACATTATTTTCCGGCTATTTCACTCTTCCCCAGTCATTCTGTATTTTAAACCATAACCATGACGACCATTTTCTTACCTGAACATCTTGCATTCTGTAGGTTCTTGAGGTGACAGAAGATGTCTCTGAGAAAGTATCAGTCTCATCTCTCTCTCCAAGATCTCTGTCACTAAACTCTGTATGCCAGTACCTATGATAAAGTTAAATAATTGTTAAAGAGAGAATCAGATCTAGCGAGCAGGCTTACAAAAAAGTGTTTCAATTTTAGAATATTTCTGGCTTATGTCATTTCTTTTCATGTCTTTTTTCTTAAAATACCCAAAGTGTTATTTCAGGAAATCTCAAGATTTTTACAATAATGTATTATTTTTCTATAAGAATGGTTACCATTCTTATTATTTGGGAGAATTTAAACATTTTTCACCCATTTTTGCACTTTGAATCCATTATAACTTCACCAATTTATAACATATCATGAATCTTTTGGGAGATATTGATATTGTAAGGAATAGATTAGTAGGTCAATTGTACATGTTGCTTGTAATTTTATCACCCCCATAGATCTGATTCTCCCTTTAATTAATGTTTCTAATAGACAAATCTCATCAAAGTTATAGTCAGAATACAATAAAAGGCAAGGTGAATTTCAATTGGTGAGGCAAGACTTAAACTAAAGAAGATATTAAACCTCTTCTGGACATATTTTTCAAAGATTTTGAGGCAACACTTTAAGTTAAGAAGATATTAAACCTCTTTTGGACATAATTTTCAAAGAATTTGAGGCAACACTTAAACCAAAGAAGATATTAAACTTCTTTTGCACGCAATTTTTTAAAGATTTTTTCTGTTCAATTTTGGTAAGGCACTGGTCATGTTTACTTATAAAGCACTTACTTGAGAATATAAGCAGTGGATGCGAAATTGAGTTGGTCCCATTTGTCACATACAAGCATGTACTTAGGATGTCTGGTCATGTTTACTTATAAAGCACTTACTTGAGAATATAAGCAGTGGATGCAAAATTGAGTTGGTCCCATTTGTCACATACAAGCATGTACTTAGGATGTCTGGTCATGTTTACTTATAAAGCACTTACTTTAGAATATAAGCAGTGGATGCGAAATTGAGTTGGTCCCATTTGTCACATACAAGCATGTACTTGGGATGTCTGGTCATGTTTACTTATAAAGCACTTACTTGAGAATATAAGCAGTGGATGCGAAGTTGAGTTGGTCCCATTTGTCACATACAAGCATGTTCTTGGGATGTCTGGTCATGTTTACTTATAAAGCACTTACTTGAGAATATAAGCAGTGGATGCAAAGTTGAGTTGGTCCCATTTGTCACATACAAGCATGTACTTGGGATGTCTGGTCATGTTTACTTATAAAGCACTTACTTGAGAATATAAGCAGTGGATGCGAAGTTGAGTTGGTCCCATTTGTCACATACAAGCATGTACTTGGGATGTCTGGTGATTTCTACCAGGATCTTGTAGGCTTCCCAGTCATTCCAGAAATTCTACAAATAGAATGTGTTTAGGTTCAACTAGGTTGTTTTTATTGTTTCTACATCAGATTTATTGTCCATGTCAAACAATTAACATGTCTTAATTATATCATGTAGGTTAATTGTAGTTAATTAATATTAAATGGGGCAGCATATTTGAGGGTATTACAATGCATATTCATATTAAGTTATTAGTTACGTATATAAAGTATTCCAAGATATGTAAAATCCTGGGTGTAAAATAAAAATTTTAATATTCAATATTTAATATTCTAATGGGTCATTATTACTTATCAAATTTGAGGGTGTTAGATTATTAACACATCTATCATTATTATTATGGGTGTTCAATTAAAGGGCTTTGTATCTGTTATTTTGGTCATTTATGGGCACTCTTTGTTATACTCCTATACCTGGTAAGCTTGCAAAAGCTTCTCCAATGTCTCCACCTGTATCACAACACGACTAGTGGCTGCATCATCACCATCTGAAATTTAAAGTACATATATATGAACAAAAATCATTACTAAAAGTAATAATAAAAAGTGGAATGTTGAAAATAAAAAAATTACAACACAGGATAAATGAATGTCTGTATGTTTCATAACAGGGAGCCCAATAAATAAGATGAAAGATACTGCAATTTTCTTAATATTGCACCAATCGTAATGAAATTTGGGCAGGGTGTAAAACAGACCCCTTTACCTTTATTTTGTGAATTTCAAGCTTTTCCCATTTGATTGGCCAAAGTTACGGTTGCTATAGCAAACAACAAAAAGGCGGATCAGGTTAAGTCGCAACTTTTAGAAATATAGTATACCTGTCTACTAAATTAGTGTGATCTTCATTGCATGTCATAATGAAGCATCCTCATAAATGATAAATATTTTCATAAACATAAATCATAAAAATTATATAATAGCTTTGTTTGTGCATTGATTAGTTCAATACATACCAGTATATCTACATTTACATGTATATTAATAGGCTTGTAAATAATTCATACCATCACCATGTCTTATAATACAAGTAATAATCAGCTAATATAAGTATGAGGTAGATGTCATTCTATCTTAACTTAATCATCAAAAAATTGGATGATTACACCTCAATGTCAGCCTAGAACTGTAAACTGTTATATCTCACAGTGAGTTATTTACTCAGATGTCAATTATACCAGACATTTGGTCTTAATTATGATTATTTTTGCACATTTATCAATTATAATTGTCCATTTGATCACATGATTATCTAAGCACGTACCAATTTGTAATTATAATCAGTAATGGTTATTTGCAATGTACATTACATGTAATATTTTTATACTACAATTCATAGTAAGCAAAATGTTATTATAACCATAGGATTGATTGTCGTAAACCAACATTTGAGATGATGACAATGTCATCAAACCTATTTTTCATAGGATTTAGGTAAGAGCACAGGATTTACATTCGGTGTTTCTGTCAATGGTAAAAACAACACCACGACCAATTTAATGTCAGCCTTATTCCTATGAATATAATACATCTAATAATGTACAGATAATTGTAGTAAGCAAGGGATCATTATACATGTACCTGTTACAACATAAAATGCTACATCTATTTTTATAATTACACAGCTTTTTCTAGGATAGCTTTTCTAGGGAGGGGGAAGCGTGACCATTATACATGCTATCACCACATATACTGTAGAAGCTACAATGATCAAGCATATCGTATTATATAAATATTATCTAGGAATTTTTACTCACCGTCATAATGATAATTATGGAGGGAAAGAAAACAATACAAACTTATCATATTGTTCATTTAGTAATATTATATTTAGTAATATTATTCATTTTTATCAAATTAAATCATGCACAAGACATGCACACGCAAATATTGATGGAGTTTTTTGCTTGAACATTTTTGATTTGCAATGTTTTGCAAGTTTGGTGACACGATTCTCGGATAGGCTCTTAATATCACATGGACTCCTAAATTCATTGTAGTATCCATGTCTTTCCTCATATATTTCAATCTTAACCAATCACTTGCCTTGATAGTCACACCATTTTCTCAAAAAATTGATGAGATGAAATGTAGAGTCAATAGTAGAGGTAACAAAACAATTTGAAATGCTGTTGTTAAAATTTTAAATTTCAAAGATTTAACATATTAAAAATTAGGCGTTTGGTAACAAAGTAAATTCAGAAATTGAATAAATAACCTCTTATTCCTTTTGTTGATAAATGATTATAGTATTATATGATGAGAAAAACATGATTTTAAGCTTACGGTACAAATTACAGTACAAACATTACACACCTTTTCCTTCATAATCTAGTGAATCTCTTATGATTTTTCTCAGGTTGTGAATCCTATCTTGCAGCTCAATGTAGCCAGAGTACTTGTACCAATGAACACCTACATATAGAAATCAACAATGCATTAACATGAGTACTTGTACCAATGAACACCTAAATATAGAAATCAACAATGCATTAACATGAGTACTTGTACCAATGAACACCTAAATATAGAAATCAACAGGCATTAACATGAGTACTTGTACCAATGAAGACCTAGATATAGGAATCAACAATGCATTAACATGAGTACTTGTACCAATGAACACCTAAATATAGAAATCAACAATGTATTAATATGAGTACTTGTACCAATGAACACCTAGATATAAGAATCAACAATGTATTAATATGAGTACTTGTACCAATGAACACCTAGATATAAGAATCAACAATGTATTAATATGAGTACTTGTACCAATGAACACCTAGATATAAGAATCAACAATGTATTAATATGAGTACTTGTACCAATGAACACCAAAATATGGAAATCAACAATGCATTAACCTGAGTACTTGTACCAATGAACACCTAAATAAAGAAATCAACAGGCATTAACATGAGTACTTGTACCAATGAACACCTAGATATAGGAATCAACAGGCATTAACATGAGTACTTGTACCAATGAACACCTAGATATAGGAATCAACAGGCATTAACATGAGTATTTGTACCAATGAACACCTAGATATAGGAATCAACAATGTATTAATATGAGTACTTGTACCAATGGACACCTAAATATAGAAATCAACAATGCATTAACATGAGTACTTGTACCAATGAACACCTAAATATAGAAATCAACAATGCATTAACATGAGCACTTGTACCAATGAACACCTTAATATAGAAATCAACAATGCATTAACATGAGTACTTGTACCAATGAACACCTAAATAAAGAAATCAACAGGCATTAACATGAGTACTTGTACCGATGAACACCTAGATATAGGAATCAACAGGCATTAACATGAGTACTTGTACCAATGAACACCTAGATATAGGAATCAACAGGCATTAACATGAGTATTTGTACCAATGAACACCTAGATATAGGAATCAACAGGCATTAACATGAGTACTTGTACCAATGAACACCTAGATATAGGAATCAACAGGCATTAACATGAGTATTTGTACCAATGAACACCTAGATATAGGAATCAACAGGCATTAACATGAGTACTTGTACCAATGAACACCTAGATATAGGAATCAACAGGCATTAACATGAGTATTTGTACCAATGAACACCTAGATATAGGAATCAACAGGCATTAACATGAGTATTTGTACCAATGAACACCTAGATATAGGAATCAACAGGCATTAACATGAGTACTTGTACCAATGAACACCTAGATATAGGAATCAACAGGCATTAACATGAGTACTTGTACCAATGAACACCTAGATATAGGAATCAACAATGCATTAACATGAGTACTTGTACCAATGAACACCTAAGTAAAGAAATCAACAGGCATTAACATGATATGTCACCACCTGCAAAACATCTGATGGGCTACTTCTATTCTTGCTTGTGACATAACGAAGATTGATAAAATGTGTGGCATTTGACACATTGCAGTTAAATAAATGGACATAGAAAACTACTCCCAAACTATTGGATATTTTGTTCTTCAAGTGTGTACTCTGATTAATAAACTAACCTAGGGTATTTTCTATCAGTTGTAGGATTCTCAAAATTTCTTGTTTCTTTGATACTGGCATGGATTTCAACATCTGGATCTCATCATCAGACCATTCTCTAAACACTAGGCACATGAACCAAATAGTTGTCTTTCCCAGGACTTTGTTACTAACTGTCCAGTAGCCCAAAAGTTGTGTTCGTAATCTGAAATAAAGCGTCAATTAGAATTATATCAATTCTTTTTATTTATTTTTTCATTTTGATAAATAATTACAATAAAGTAATTGTCTTCCTTCGTTTATGTGTCACTTAATATCCAGTAGCGGAGACGTTTTGATGTAATGTAATGAAGTTAAAACATCCCGTATAAGTAGATCTCTGATACAAGATGTGGTGCTGTATTGCAAAGTTATATGACTTTCAAAGAAACAAAATCCATCACCATCCATACTTTGCTAGCCACTGTACATGTTTGCAAGTTTATATCTTTTAAATGACACATTGGACCCTTAATAAAGTACACATAAACTCACTTCATGACTTTGTCGACTGCAACACTATCTGGTGGTGGGATGAGGAATATCAATGCTGGGGCTGTTGTTTCTTTCCCATCAGCGTTCTTCACCTAAAACAAGTTCATAAATTGCTTGAACTTTTTCAACATACTTTACTGACTTGAATGTATGTGAACCTAAAGTTTTAAGCATTATCAATTTCTATGCTTGACCTTTTAATATGACTATGTAATAATACATATGGCGATTTTGCAACATCCCATGTAATGATTTCAGAAAACAGAAACAATGCCATACTTCCCTCACATTATTCAGAAGCTATTAACCAAAATCTACTATTTCATTCATATTTGGCTCATTACAACACACGTTGAAGAACAAGTAGTCGCAAACGATGAGGGACAGACAAAAGTCTCAACATTCAAAAATGTGTGAATGTCAATCAACATTCCAAAAGCTGCAGTCATGGTTCATAAATTCACAGACCTTTGATAAATTGAACAACTGAATTATTCAACAAATTACATGTAAGCAAAAGTAAATAAATAAATGAATAAACAAACCTTCCAAGTGTTAGGATCTTTGTTGTCGAGGAGAATAAGATCTTCCCCTTCTCGGATTTCTAGATCTTTGGTCTTATAATTACACAAAGCTTTGACTGGTAGTGGGGCCTCTACAGGTTCTGTTCTCTTATTAACTGGGACCAAATCTCTACATCTTTCCATCATGTGATAGCCACGCTCTCTCCATGTTAGGTAGACTGTGTGTGCATCCTATAAAGGAATTGTCTAGCATATAATATAATAGCAGAGTTAAACAAATTGATATGTACTCCCAAGTGCCAAAGGAAAATGGCTAAAAATTGTTACAGAACCCAGCAAGAAGTGTTTACCTGTCATAAGCAAAAAAATCCCAACTATCACAAACCACAATCGTAAGTGAAAATAAATAAAGTTGAATACCCCCATCCCTACATCATTCAAGTTCCATTATCACCATAACACCAAGTGACATTTCATTCATACAGAACCTGTTATAAGATATAGAGATAGATCACCACATTATTTTGCTAAATGGAAGTATGTCACAGTTTTTATGATAAGTCCATCAAATTAATGTTTCACATCTTGACATAAGAGGTGCATACTTACATATACACTGTATGTCTCCATTTTAAAAGCAAGCTGACATTATTTAGTTCATGGAAATTCCTTACCTTTAACTCTGCAATTATTTTGTTGGCACTTTTCCTGTCATCTTCTAGTTCTTCTTTATCAAACACCTGAGCAAGCTTTGTAAGTTTGTCATGTAGGTTGTTTTCATACTCCTGGATTTCATTGTTGAACTAGAACAAGCAAAATGTTTGTCATGAAGGTTATTTTCATACTCCTGGATTTCATTGTTGAACTAGAACAAGCAAAATGTTTGTCATGTAGGTTATTTTCATACTCCTGGATTTCATTGTTGAACTAGAACAAGCAAAATGTTGTTTGTCATGAAGGTTATTCTTTATATTCATGCATTTCATTGTTGAACTAGACAATTGCAAAACAATATACAATGTGAAAATTCAAACCAGTACATATACATATAAAGAAGAGAGCATTTATTACAACAACTGTCAACTACTATTTATTTTATTATTACTTCACATGGTGGCAGCGGTGGGAGCTTCATAGTTTGGTACATTACACATAACATCAAGGGGAACTAAACATTATCTTATATTTCAGACAATAAAACAGAGGAAATTGTAAATCTGCATTGTGCCAATATCAGATACATGAGAGAAAAATAAGGAGGTCCTCTACATACAACATAAAGATCATATGACAAGGAACCTATATGGGAAGAAGAGGAACCTATATGTCATGGATATAACAAAGGTAAAACAAATAGTACTTTCTGATTAATATTAGAGACAGTTTATCTCGAAGAAAGAAATCCTATATATTAATATAGGATGGGTAATCAAAATGGGGAAAGTTAAAATGTGTTTTTGTTCAGCTTTCTTAAGCTGTATAACCCATTTCAGCATGTCTTTATTATTGCTTTTGAAATATTTGATTTCTATATTTTCTAATTTTGATTTGTTTACCTGGTGGTAAGCTGCAGCATTATACAAATGAACATCCATACATTTGACCATATTTGCAATCCAGGACCAGTTTGCCTTGGTCCCAAGAATACTCTCCTGTACAGAGGAAGACAGTGATGAGATTGAAGAGCTCTGATTTCTAAATATACCATCATCTTTACTGAGGTCTACTGCCCTCTTGTCAAATTCTGTGGATAGATTCTGAAATGAAATTTTTAACATTTTTTTATGTACAGCAATCGTATCCTCTTTTATACATACACTAGAATCTTAATCTGTATTTGATTCCAGTTTAGGTTTATTCATGTGTAAATCCCAAAGTTACAATCCTTTCAAAACTTTGATTTCCTTCTATGTGTATTTTCTTAAAGGTACTGGATAGGCATTCAATCCTTAATTAATTAATTGTATGACTGTCATTTTCAAAATCAATCCTATTGAATCCCAATGCGCATTCAATAATGCTTTCCATTTTTAATATCTACTCACATTCAGTAGACTTTCTAAGTTGGCAATGTCAGGGATTTTATCTTTGTCCTCAAGAGGCCTTGTTGTAGTAACCTGTAATGGAATATACAGTAATGTATTGTGAAGTAATGTAATTGTGCAGTAATGTAATGTAAAATAACGTTCAGTAATGTAATGTAAAATAACGTTCAGTAATGTAATGTGGTTAAATTCAATGTTACTTTTATTGATAAGCAGATAACTGCATTTTTGCAAGTTTGATTAATGTTATCATATGTGTTACGTTTTTATCAATGAATAAGGAGCATATGTAGAACACAGATAGTACACACTATCATCCATATCAGGTCCATCTTTATCTGTTTTTATATTGTATATTCAAGCTGTACATTCCAACACATACATTCACATTACAATTTTATGAATATAAAATTTGTGTCATACAGAAAATTAAGACTAATACCAGTCAAGGAAATATTCATGAGTTATTCAGAAATTGCATAAATCTCGCTGCTACATATTTATCTATTCCAAATGCATCAACGATTTTTACAGTGTCTAGATAAGCTTGAAAGAAAGTTAGCAAATAGTTTCACGTTTAATTAAAATGGTGCATAGAATGTAATCCAAAATATAACAATGCATGAAGTGAAACAAATGCTTAAACTACAATAGCAAAATAGGACAATACACATACAAATGATGAAAATAAAATAGCAAAAGGATAACAGACTTGCCAAACACTTACGTGAAATGGATAATGTGCCCAATGTGCAGATGGTCCATTTGGGACTGCATATTGATTGGCATCGACATTGTTCTGAAAGAATATATTAGTTTGATTATTATACGAACAAAAAATTAACGTAAAGTTAATTATAATCTTTGATGGAATCATTTCAGCACTAAGCATCAATTCTTAACTATTACAACGATGGAACACCTTGTATATATATCAATGTGCCCACATTCAAAATATTGAATACTCTCTACTTACCATGTTTAAAGTTTTAAAGATGTAATTCACTGTCTCTTAAAGAAACCTTTCTCAACAATGACAACGTTTTGATTAAGTCAATACCACCTACATGCTAAATGCTAATAAAGCACCTTGATCTGTATGTTTTGTCCCTTCAAAAATATACACTAAATGTTATTATGTCATAAGCAAAGCTCATAAATACCATATTAAAATCAACATGATTTACAACTGTGAGATAATTCATTGCGATCACTCTAAAATAGAAACTACTTGGTCTTGCATAACAAGGAAACAATGTTAACATCTATTTTTAATCTAAGGAACGGGTTGTATTTTACACCTTCATTTTAATGAAACCTAATTGAACTTTGCACTGACGTTCACTATGATCAGTGATAAAATATATAGTAGTGATAAGAATACAGACTATAAGGTCGCTATGGTAACATTATTATTACAAAATATTGTCAGTTATTGATTAACATGATAATCGTGGTAACATTGAAGTAGTCGTTTACAATTCTCAATGATGTTGTTCACAGAATCAAAGCATTATTTTCCATGCCAGGTAAAACATAATGTTAATGATTGCAATGAAGCACATACTTCTTGTCTAACATGATTCCAATCGTAGTTTATGAAATTATTCAAGTATCTCAACTTGTAAAAATGATTTGAATGTAAGTGTGTCATTCTATCACGATGTTCTGGCATATGATCTGGGTTCTTGAGTGTTGTGAATCTATAATTATTAAATATCCCAGAGCTATTTTAATAAGTATATGTTCGACATTGTTTTTATGTGTGTCAGATCATATTTCGGTGATAATTTGGATATTCAAGTTTCTTTATGCCAGGGTGATGGGGGAAGGAACATTCAACTTTGTTTCTCCTTGCATTACATCACAATGTGTTATATTTGGGGCTCGATTTCTTTTTACCAAAAGAGCATAGATTGGTTGTAGACAGCATTCCTGCTTGTCTGATCATAGTTATACCGTGAGGAGGAGGGTATGCCATTAACTCTTGGATATATAGGGGTTATGCACTGGGAGGTTTTGGATACAGGAAATATCCCGAGGGATATACAATATATCTTCCCGAGGGACCGAAGGGACCGAGGGAAGATGTATTGTTTATCCCAAGGGATATTCCATGTATCCAAACCGACCGTGCATAACTGGTGTATCTCATACTTGAGTGGGTTTAGGGTAGATATAACCTTTTCCACCTTTTTCAAATGACAAGATATTTGTATTTAACATTTTCGTAATATTCTTTTTGTTCAATACAATGAAATTGTAACATTTAAACTTAAAAAATTTAATTAAAAAATTAAAACTTTTGATATTTAAACTTTTGAAAAATTCCCGGGAGCGGGATGGATATATTATATCTGCCCGCATTTGGCCTGGAGCGGGACATATACAATATATCCTGCCCGCTCCTCAGATACGAAATATATTCCCGGGTGATATCTACCCCAAACCCACTCAAGTATGAGATACTACCAAATATTGAACGGCGTATTTACCGTCTTTGAATCACACCATTTACATTACGAGAACCCTTAAATGAGGCTTTCTGAGGTATGATACATGTATTTCAAATAAAACCCTAAAACATACAGAAACGTATAGAATATGCATCATGAAATAATTGATCGAGCTCTGACATAATGTATTTTTCAGTTACTGTCAAAAGCTTTGGATGTATCAATAATCCTAATAACATACCCATAACATACTTATTAGACCGGTTGAAACCACTGGTCAGTATAAACATATTTTACCCTATTTATCTTGTATCATACGAGGTCATATTCTCTCTTCATTTTTCATATCATGGAAACAAGGCATTAACCTTCAAATATCACCACCTGCCATTTTTTGCAGACGCTGACCGCCAAACACTTATTCCCGAACGTCAAACAACGTCCATGAAACGAAAACGATTATAACAATATGTCACCACTTTTGGTTGTGCCATAAAAATCCCAAATGCCCTAATGTCAAGTTATATTCACCTCATAATCAATGGTCTTCTTTATGTCTTTAACATAGGATTCCCTCACTAAAGGACCATCTCCATTTGTTAGTCCATTGGGAGTGGACGTGTAGTTGTAACGGTTGGAGGCATTCTGGAAAACACAAATGTTTACACAGTGTTGAAAAGATTTAGATCTTTAACACAACCTCATACATGTTTACGTTACTTTTGTTCAAAGGATTAAGATGTTTTACTAAAAAAGCATATTTACATTATGATATCTAATTAATATACTGTGAAATGACACATACCATACATTATACCATGTTTTAGTTGTTTGTTTTTATTTTTTCTTTATTTAAAAGGTGTGTTTACTTGTATTCCAATTCTAACACGCCCATCACTTACGTTGTTTATTTATTCTCAGTCATAACAATGTCATTCAACAAATTTTATATTTACGTTTTTTTCTCAAAACCAAAACAAACATTTTATTCTCACGAGGTGAATCTCGTTCTACCTGAGATTTAAGGTGTATACGCAATGCTTTATGTTCTCAATATATCAAATTTGTTTTTTATATCAGACTCACTCACCCTCGTGCATCGTGGAAACGCCATCATAGTACCTAAGAAATTTATCAAAAACCCTCCTCTTTCATTTACCCTGTTATTAACCTTTACTATGTCATTAACGGTAAATTATGCTCCTGTGAAATATTTTCCTTATTTTAACATCTAAATCATGTGTTTTTCAAATCACATCGACTGAAGTATTTTCCTTGTTTTGACTAAAGTGCTCTTAACATGTAGATAAAAACAATGTTTAATGTTAATTGTCAATTATCCAGTTGTGCTCTATTAATACATGTACTTAACAGATTAGGTCAATCAGGTGGTTAATATTGTTAAGGTCGACTGCATGGATACCATAGCCTATTAGCTTTATCCGTCCATATTATTTCACTCACAGTTTAATTGTCTTTGCATTCCCTTGTTTTTAAGCATTTCTTAATACAATAAAGGGTTTTAACACCATGAATGATTATTTTATTCCTTTCTGATTTCACTCTCTTTTACTCTATTTTGCATTTTCAATTATGTCTTAATCGTATGATGACTACATATTATTGATTTTGTTTATTGTATTTAGATCAAATGATCCCTGTAATTTACAGGCTTAATATAAAGTTCACGTGTCAATACTATATTTTTAATTGTTTTTAATCTACACATTTGCAATGTGTAGATGCAAAATTAAGCTGATAGTAATATGCGTGTACAGAACATGTATGTATGTATAACTGACTATATTTAGAGTGCATGTAATATTCTATATTATAATATGATTACATAACTGTTTAGCCCAAAATAGTTCAATGTTTTTGTGTGTAAAATGTTACGTGTCACATGTCCACCGGGATATTATGTAGTAACAACTTTTATTTTGTTTCATGTTAATTGAAACTGTTATGTTATGACCAGGCCCGTAGCCAGGATTTGCCAATGAGGGGTTAACTTTTTGAAAAATTCCAGGGGGTTCACTTGTGACAATTGTGGTCCAAAAATGGCCAAAATCACTTTAAAAGTGCTCAGAATGGTGAAAAACTGCATGGTTTTGAAAGTTTTTTGGCCAGGGGGGGGGGGTTTGCTCGAACCCATCGACCCCCCCCCGGCCATGGGCCTGATGATGTTGTACCTATGATATTCTGAAAATATACTCTGGGGGACAGAGGCAACTACAGCTCTTTTAGAGAAAGGAAATCATATCATCAATGAAATATATCAAGATTTCAAAATTTTAGAAATAGCAAAACGGGCTTGAGGGAATCAATTTATCACATGTATGCCTTTGGTCGCAGGTGAATACCAAAACAATATTAATACAATATGTATGTTAAAAGATACATCCATCAAAATAAGCTTTTTACGTTGTACGTCATTATTAAATTCGTTGTTTTTAAACGTGTGATAATTCATAAACCTTCTGATGTACTGGTCATCCGTATAATTGATGGCAATTAAATATGTAAATACAACTACCAAAAGTGAAAGTTCAGACAGTGTTAAAACCAAAGTGAAGAAAACTAAATACAGAACAACCAGTCATAAGAAAACAAATAATGGGCTACAAGGAAACCTTGTCTAACGACTCTTCCCCACAATCCCGAAACCATTAACACAATCCAATTCCACAACATTACATGTTAAAAAACTTATAAAGAGGTTTGTAAGTTTGAATGCTTCACTTACATTGTTAGTATCATCCGGGTATTTCATTAAATCCATTTTAATACAAGTATTAAAGGTGGTATCGTCAGCCATTACATGAATTTATTATAAGATACTGCGTATAGTATTAGCTCAACGTCTCCGAGTTCTGTTCAGAAAGTGAACAATCATTGATGTATTTAGCATTATATGACTGGATTGGAATAAAAGTCGCCATTGTTGGATTTCAATGTAAACAAATTATAGCATATAGTCGACATTTAGAGTAATAAATGCCAAATAACGCGAGGTATAACTCTAAGGAATTCATCCTCAAATGACGTATTGCTTTTCTTATGACATTTGTACCATCGGCGATTCCTTTTCTTGAGAAAACTTCAAAAACGAAAATGAATTTGTTATTGCGATCATTTTAAAATGCATTTTAATGACAAATATGAACTTTACAGTGAGATGAAGGGGAGACTTAGGTATCGGTGAAAATTGACAATACAATAACCGCGATAGTTCCAACTTTTAAAATCACCACGTTCATTCAAATGCTTTTTCGATATCACATCATATTGTTTTAAAAGCAAAAATACACAGTTCATGTAGTAGATCCTAATTCTAATAATAGTAGATGGCAGGGTAAAAATAAAACAAGGTCGAGCGAATGTACTTGTCAAAATATTTAAAGAGCCCATAGGCGTGGAGTAGATACATGCATTTGACAAGTAGGTATATAGTTTTATAAGTGAAATTAACCTTGCGGTAAGTTCTCCATCTACATTTTTGCGCTCATTGGAACTAGAATTATTTTGTTGCTATGTTTCAATTTACGAATACAAAAAATCGAGAGATACTCAAATTTATAACCATCGACATCGTACAGTACCTTTCAATTAAATCATTGGTCAATACGATGAGTCACTGATATAAGTAGATCTCTAATGAAATCGATGCTACTCTGAAACCCAGGTAACCACGGTTAAAACCAAACAACATCAACATAAAATTAAGACATACATCCCACCTACATCTTGGACTTTGAGCAATCTATCATATACAGTACTGAGTACGCATAGCAATGTGACCAAGGGGTTAACTACAATATGAATGTATTACTATAAAAAGGAAGTTCGAAAGGGCGTTCCAAAAATACCGATACTGACATAAGGCCACACGTGTAATTAGAATATATATTTATATTAATGAATTAAAATCATAAAATTCATAATCTTATAATATAGTATTGTTCGATGCATTAGTTTTACAGTGTAACATTTTGCAGTTTGCCAATGGGGAAAACAGAAAATAGAAACCAGAGCAAAGTAATATCATTTATAAACACATATAAATACATATATTGCAGCATACTTTTAAAACAATGCATATGCGAAACCAAATCACAACGTAAAATAAATGCATCCACACAGATTCCAAATCACAACGTCAAATAAATGTACCCACACAATTACCAAATCATTTAAAGGCAAAACAAATGTATCCACAGAGATTCCAAATCACAACGTAAAACAAAAATGTATTAATGTATCCACACAGATTCCAAATCAAATTGTAAAACAAATTATCAACACAGATACCAAATCACAACGTATAACAAATGTACCCACACATATACCAAATCACAATAGACATCTATCCAATCAGATTAATAAAGTTGACCAAATTACAACATAAAACCAAACAAATAAGCGAATGAATCGACACACATACCAAAGCACAGCATAAAACTCACCAAATAAGCTAATACATCCATGCACGTACCAAATCAAAATATAACCAAATAAGAAAATACATCCATGCATATACCAAATCATAATATAAAACCAACCAAATAAGAAAATACATCAACACAATATGCAAAATCACATCATAAAACTAACAAAATAAGCAAATACATCCATGCACATACCAAATTACAATATAAAACTAACTGAAAACACCATGCATATGCCAAATCACAACATGAAACTAACCAAATAAGCTAATACACCCATACATATACCAAATCACAACATGAAGCTAACCAAATAAGAAAAAATACATCCATGCACAACCCAATCACAATATAAAACTAACCGAATACATCCATACACATGCAAAATCAAAACATGTAGCTAACCAAATAAGCTAATATATCCATACACATACCAAATTACAACCATAAAACTGACTGAATACATCCATGCACATACCAAGTTACAACATAAAGCTAACCAAATAAGCAAATACGTCAATGCCCATACCAAATCACAATATAAACCTAACCAAATAAGATAAGAAAAAATGCATCCATGCACATACCAAATTACAATATAAAACTAACCTAATATATCCATACATATACAAAATCACAACATAAAGCTAATCAAATAAGCTACTTCATCCATACACATACCAAATTACAACCATAAAACTAACAGAATACATCCATGCACATACCAAATCACAACATGAAGCTAACCAAATAAGCTAATATATCCACACACATACCAAATTACAACCATAAAACTAACTGAATACATCCATGCACATACCAAATCACAACATGAAGCCAACCAAATAAGCTAATATATCCACACACATACCAAATTACAACCATAAAACAAACTGAATACATCTATGCACATACCAAATCACAACATAAAGCTAACCAAATAAGCTATATATCCATACACATACTAAATTACAACCATAGAACTAACTGAATACATCCATGCACATCCCAAATCACAACATAGAGCTAACCAAATAAGCTAATATATCCATACACATACCAAATTACAACCATAGAACTAACTGAATACATCCATGCACATCCCAAATCACAACATAAAGCTAACCAAATAAGCTAATATATTCATACACATACCAAATTACAACCATAAAACTAACCAAATAAGCTGGTAGGTCCATGTGGTAAGCACATCTAAATCCTTCTAACGGGTTGTAAACGGTTTGTTGTGAAGACATTCCTTTAATCTTGTTAATCCACGCTAATCACTTCAAATAAGAAACCAAGGTGAGAAAAAATCAGCACAGTATCTTATATGTACATGTGAAATAACTCAAGATAACATACATTTTAAATACCATTGATGTTAAGCTTTGAGTATGTGCTTAGTAAAGTAGAGACTTTTATATTGTAATTTATTGTCACTGGATTATAGTAATTGCGCCACCCATATGTTTTAATATGTGGGTCGTCGAATTAATATAAGTTAAAGTCCACTTGAGTTAAGCATTTTTAATATTAAGTCAGTCCTTTATTTGTATTGTCGTTTTCAAATTCAGCAACCGGTATAATAAATGCAAAGCAGGTGGCGTGGTTTAGTGATATCCATGCAAGAAATGCTGTAAATGTAGATCGTTTTCAACATAACTGACTTTATTAATCACGTATATAAAAAGGTTTTCCCCAAAAGTTAACATTTTACTTTAAAATATTTCTAGAAATACTTTCTAATTTTACATATTTTTGAATCTTAAAAAAGAACGATTAACATAAAAGTGAATTTCACTTGAACAAGATCAAAGTGCATAGGTAAACGCCATAAAGAATATTCTTTATGGTAATATTTCAAGCCTTTGGCCTCGTGTACCTTGCTTTAATCTTTGATTTTGCCATACCGATATAACGCCCTTCTCTTTGAAAAGTAACAAAACTACATTATGTTTTGTCATTTCTATTCAATTAAAGTGAAAACTAAATGGCAGATCATTTAATTTCTCGTTGATTCCTCTCATTTTGTCTTATTTTTCATTTTAACAAATGACCAACGTGGAATTTCTCTCATGTGTGTGTTATCTAAAGGGTTATGCCATTTGCATACATAACGAGGAGTCCATGCAAATCAATGGATATAAATTACAAAGAGTCAAGTACGGCAAAATTTTACTTGAAAGCTGTTTTGCAAATTATTAACTTGGTATGCATATAGTATTGATTATAGAATGCATGAATAATTGTATCTCACATAAAGATCAGGCTGACATAGAACTCAATTTGGATTAGTAATTGGATGAAATTATTTAATTCTATCTATTGTCTATAAGTATCTGCCACGTTAAGTCTATTTCTCATTTTCTTTTGCTACGTCAACTGTTACACTTCATTTGTATTTTATAAGAATATTTCGTAAGGGAACATAATTATTTGGATATGTTAACTATAACTTTAAATACTTCTTGGTTAGAGCCCCTGTGACCCACACACACCTCAACTGATGTAGATAGGGGATGGGGGTCAAGGGACCAGATGTACCAAAAGGACTACTCATTCCCATTCAATACTAGTCTAACTAATCATTTTGAAATAAACCCGTGTACAGATGCTTACATTCCAGCTCTCTGTATAGTGTAGCAAAGAGCAAATCAAACACTATTAATCATTAGTATAAAAATCGGTCAAATTGCAATAAATTATGAACTCTTGCAGATATTAACTTAAGTTATCGAATAATATTTTTTAATTGTAACATTTTACGTTTTGCACATATGGTGAAGTCACATATCCATGTGAATATCAAAGATGCACCACGATTTCATCATTTATGATACAAATTATACTTTAAATCCATTTAGTTTCGTTTGGTGATATTCCCTTATTGAGTCCAGACACGACTGTATGACCTTCAGTGATATATGCATCCTTGTCTCATTCTAACTTCTAACTTCCCTATACTTTATGAATACTTTTTATAAATATAATTTAAATAAAACAATACTTACGTCATCCATTGTATGCACATATATTTTATATCATATCAAATAATCTCTAGACTTGAAAAACTTAATCCATATGATGATTCATAAAGTCCGTGTAGAGCATACTATTTCCTCAACAGCAGACAGTATGCAACATACATCGACATGATATACAACCCACCCTCATGACAGATGTAAATTTTATTAAATATAACTCAATCAACCGTTAAAGCACAGTCGGAAATAATCACTTACTAACCCCGTTGTGTTTGTTATTAACGATAAGCATTTTTAATTTCGAATTCAAATGATTTATAGAAATTGTATTGATTCGTACATTATGGCGGTATACCATATAGGCCATGCAACAGGTGTATGTATATATTGTTTAGATATTGGTTACCATAGCAACGTAGTATCGATTATTGTGAAGCTTTGTTTAGCAATGCATATACATGCATCGAAGCAATTGTGCAATGTTATATAAGGTTTTAGTGGCTGCATTGGGGTGACCAGCCGGAGGAATGAAAAGTACATTCAGGTTATTTCCCTAACATGATCATTGTCTATTAGAAATATATGGACGGCAGAGCATATTAAAATTGAGAACAACCAAAAAGGACCCCTCTCAGAGAAATATACAATACTAATATAAATCGTGGATAAAAATATTTACCTGGAAAATCACACAATCATAATAAAATGTATTTTACCTTAATAAGTATGTCTCTCCTCATATCCTCTTCATCGTGTGTCAGTACCATTATTCTATTGAAATATTTATTGTTTACTGAGAAATTTTTTCCTTATAACGCAGGTAATATATCACCTATTTTATACACGAATATTATTTAATCCAGATTTTTATGAATTCGAAACGTCAAGTTAAAAGTGTGTTCTAAGTGCATTTGTAATAATACAAAACAATTGTAAACAAACTACTGCATAAAATGTCACCTTGCGTAATGGCTTTCCTTTGGTCAATTCCACTGTTTCCAGAATTATTAAATCTAACTAACGACAAACTTATTTTATACTGTTGATATTTGAGTAGGCGGTACGACCGTTATCTCAGTTCATTCATAAAAAAAATTTCAAAGGATAACCCTGACTCCTATCAAACGCTTCAGTGAAGTCTAAAGAAATTGATGTCGGTTAAAAATTTAAACAAAAAAACTAGGGTGACTGATACTGTGACTACATCAAACAGCAGTTGTAGCTCCTTTTATGAGGATATGATTACTATTTACTAAATTATTTCAAGTTTATTTTTGTTTATGCTATACTCAAAGGAATGTTAGAAATTTTGGCGCATTTATTAATGTCAACTTGAACGATTAATGTCATTAACCTGGAATGAATAACTTCCTGAACAAAATTAAGGAAAACATGAATCACAAATACGAGTATACAACAACTTTGTTGAAAATGAAAATATATAATATATAATTTTGTCATATTAATTTAATACAGATACGTAGCGGAAAATAAGTGCGTCACCCGGCCTGGTTTTATTTAATTTGATTTTGCTTCTTTAAAGAGAGCATAGTCTGACAGCAATGGTAGTCCGACTGTGCTTTGGACAATCACCTGTTTGTGCTTATTTGATCACATGTGCACCAAGAATGTGTCTAAATATTTAGGCATCTGGTTCAGTTCGATTAACAACGTTTACCTACATTTATATACATTGATACAGATGTTCTAGATTTTAGACAAACAATACACGTCCCTGTAAAAACATTAAACCATCACCTTAAATTTACAAAAAACATGCAGTCAATGGGCGATTGGCAAGACAATCAATGATATACTCCAGAACACTTCCTTAACTCTTGATTTTTCCAGTTTTTACCTGTTCTATTAAGACACATAAATATGACGCACCAATAAAAGAAATGAATCAATGGAATATAATATAAACGTAAATGTACATGTTTAGGTTTTTAATGATCAAAGTGTACAAAAATGCTCTTTTCTTGTAAATAGTTTTTACTAATACCTAAACATAATTTTAATTTAGTTCAAAAAGGTATTTCCTATAGGTTTTGTGGCGTTGTGTTCTTCATTTTGTATTGACCGTCTTTATTAATGATCATTGATTGTGATCTTCATCAAATCATCAATCGGCAGACACGGGTAGACAGGTGGATAAATGGTGAGTGAAATCCATATGTTAACCTCAATTCTGGATATATTGGTGACAGATGCACTCGTTTGTTATCATTAGAAGTTTGACCCGCTCGGGTCACAGGTGATTTATTGAATTTAGTCTTTAACCTGTCAATGTATCGGAGGTACTTTGTTTGATATGTGTTGGTTTGTATTGGACAAACAATTTAGTAATTCAGTGTCAATTTTATTGTTCTAGGTGCCCTTATTGCGCAGAATGGATAAAGAGTGTGAAATATTTGGATCAATCTTCAAAAAGCCAAAAAACATTTTCATGAATCAATTGAATCCTTGACTTCGGAGATCACCTGGCTAAAGACCAGCAGGGTAAAGTAGAAAAATTGGACGTCTCTTTTTAAATTCAAACGAATCTTAAATCTTCAATTACTTTAATACATAACTTTTAAAATTTAAGACAGTTCTTTAAACTGTAATTAACAAAACGTAGTCCAATGAAAGTTACATAGTCCCTTTAACGCCATGATTCGCTTCGTCTATTTTATAACATTCTTGCATTGGTATTAAACATAGAGCATAGGTATGTGGATAGTATTTGAACGAAATAATTAAATGCCATCATCTGGTTCAATTCAACCTTATTTCACTTATGTTTTCAATGTAACCGATTACTGGTATCTGATAAGGTACTTGCACTTGTAAAATAACTATATGATTAAAATAGTACGCATACTCCAGATAATTAATCGGACTACTTCCAACGGCCCCAGGATATTCAGTGAGAAAATGTGTACAGGTCAGACCGCTCTAGGAAACAATGAATACTTATAATTCTGCCAGATAAATGAAATACATAATTATCCTTATTGGGAGAAAACACGTGTTTTTACAAATTAATATGCCAGGGATGTTTTCAGATTCCATTATATATAGGTGAGGTAAATGTATAGAGGCGAGGCAAATGTATATAGGCGAAGAGAAATTGATTACTAAAAAGCATACTGTATGTGACATAATTTTCAAAGAATGATTAAGATATTTTTTGCCTCAATTTTTGCCACAAATTTTGATGACGTCACGCAAAAACGGAGATTCTATCTCAGACCTCTCAATTCAAACAGAAAATGAAATTTAGCTTTGGTTTTAGCCAGGTAAGAAGCGGGTAGGTTTTATCCTAGAAATATGACTCTAATTTGTTGACCTGACACGAACATAGGGTTTGTTGTTAATATTTAGTTGACCCAATGATCCAGTAACTCAGTTTATGGAGAAAATAGTTCAAATAAATGTCGTCTATCAACTTTAATCCAGTGTTAGTCAAACTACATTGTAGGTTTTATAATCCTTAATAAAAAAGTTTAACGACGGTCAAAGTGACATTTTTCTGTTGTATTGTCATAAGACGAAAAACGTTTCCGGCACAAAATAATGCCTTGCGGCGAGAGCCCTGGGTGACATAATGCAAACTTTGGCAATCCTTTCGGAACACGTGTAAAAGCCTGTTTTGGCGATTTTGACAAATTCATTAATATTTTTAAAAATCAGGCCAATAACAATAAAAGAACACAATAAAATTCGAACTTAAGCAGACTTAACGCGATATCCATTAGGGTTGCCAAAAATACGGAAGGGGTATAGGAAGTCGGTAAGTTCTTACTTTTTTCTCCCATTGACCATGTGTCCCTTGTTCAACCCCACTGGCATTCATTACGTAAGACTTGTATTTTTAATTAAACTGTATTTTTATTTGAATGATTACTATAATTACTGATAAAACACTATAAACAATACCCTTTGCATTCGTTTGACTTCACTTCTTAAAAGAGAGCTTCGTCTAGACTCTGCACGCAGGGTATATAAACAACGTTTATCACTTTAACTACTGCTACGGTGCTAATTTGTATTACATATTTGAGTAGTTTTACAGTAAGACTAACAGAGTTGAGTATATAAGATTGTCTAGTGATAACGATAAATCGTAAAGGCCTTAGATACCTAGAAATGTTAAATACTATGTTAGAGACTATCCCGGGAAACTATATACCTTCCTGTTATCCAACCTGGTCAACATGGCCTCAACGGTTACTAATCTATGTCATCAATTGTAGCTAAATTGATATTTAAAAATAATACTGCAAATAGATTTACCTTTTGATTGTCAACCGGCAGCCATGTGTTGAGCTCTGATACATGTACATGGCCATTCATCATCTTTATGTATTATGTAATTATGTGTACTCCAAAATTGATAAGAATATAACGTGGGACGTTGTGTTGTTCCCGGGGCGTTGTTTAACTCTCAATTTCGATTAGTTTAACGTTTATCGTGTTCAAAGTTTGATAATGAAAGTAAAATCATTTGCGTCTGTCAAATTCGCACTTGTGAATGATCCATTTGAAATAGCCTTGTTTTAACGCGGTAGTTAAAGTCAACATTTGATGTGATTTATGTATCCCATCTTGCATAGCTCACATTTTGAAATCTACGTGACTGATTTGTCAGTCTATGTCACGTGGTGTTTACATAGTGTCCGTAATGTAATTAATTAATCGCAAATTATGGCGATTTTAAAGGTACATACGGAATTCTCATTATGTATTGCTTTTTAGTACACTTGAGGCCGAGTAAGGGTGGTCAAAGGCCGCATGCCATTTAAATATCATAGAAACTGAAATTATAAATACCCTCGAAACTGAATTAATTTTGCTAAAAATATGATTTGGTTTAATATTAAGTACGCTTAAAATGTTAAAATGATAATGTATTGGTATTCAATACACGTTTTATTGTGGGTATTAGCATTGCAACAATGCAGGTAGTGAAAACAAATTATGAAGTCAATTACATTCCAATGACTTCTGACATTTCCTTCTTTCGTTGGGTGATTAGAACATAGTTGTCTGTTTATAAATGAAATGGTAAAGCCCATGATGCAAAGGAACATTTTTGAACGTTTAATATAATTTCGTCAAGGTATTATCGTCGCTTGTGCGCAGATCATATATTGTAGCTAGCCTACACTTTATCTGTAAAGGTAGTCAGACGTTCAAAAGAAGTTTACTTCATTGTTATTTAACGGATTTTATAATTAATTTGTTACTATGGTAACCGAACAAGAAATAGACTACCTCAATGGACGGATTACTTAACGGACAATGATTTGTTACTATGGTAACCAATTACATGTGATTATAGTTTAGTTTATTCCGACATCCTAAGAATGCCTTAGAGATGATCGGAGTATTATGCGGTACAAAATACAATAAAAGATACAACTTTCAAACGAGAACATTTCTTTTGAAGGGCACATCTATATTCAAGTTGAATGGTGCTACCATATAGTAAGTAGTTTAGTTAATTTTAATTAGAGTTCTTGAAACAAAGTTTCAGTAAATGAGTATGAAGACTAGCCTAAAGAAGAAAAATACTACCATTTAAGATAACTAATACACAAAAGGAAATAACAAATGAATATTTCTAGAATATGAGTAATGTGATATTTATATTTTATTTTCGGAGAACGTAACAGTAGTATCTTCAGTCTACCTAATATTGAACTCTAACGTATTTAATAATCAATAATATTTAATAAGTTATAAATTAAATCGATACTTCTCAAGTCTGGGTAATTGTCGTATTGTATATTTATTTACCTCTGATAGAGAGTTACAATAGTTGAAATACATTAAAGTGCAGTATAAATGCAAACAATTATAATTTAAAACATGTTGAATAAGTGAATAAATGAAATGAGAAATCTATAGTTAATAGGCACTGCTATAGTGTCATACACACATTGCAATTCTTTTCCTAATTTCAGCTGGTGTTGCTATGGTAACCAGACCTTTAATAATTACAAATTCAATACAGGAACAGAGTGTTCAGAGTGGATCATTAGATTAATCATTTTAAAAATGGGGCTAAATGACATGCTTTATTTAATCTTCTACTTTTAGATGGTGTTACCATAGTAACCATACCTTTAAGCTGCTCTTTTTCGGCCTGGGCGGTACAGCCTCATCGACTCCATTAAGGGATCCATCGATCTCCTGCGTGCTCATGTCGTCTCTTGGGTTCCAATCGATTATTTTTCGATTGTATGTGTCGGCCTTTGTATTCCTTCTTTTCTGAATCTGAAGCAGTAGAAATAAAAGAGTTAACGTGCCGATCATCACTGCCATAGCAACGCTAATGAATAATAACCAATCATCCGAATCCATCATTGCCGGGCTCCAATGAGTGTCTTTGGGTGTCATATCCGTAAGCTTGTATTACATAAACATACAGATTTGACCAAAAACGCAATTCAGGTATGAAATCTAAATTGAAATACCGACAACAGAAACAACCATAACAAAAATATGATAAGCTGATAATTCGATCGATCCAGTGTCAAATGTGAAATTAAAAATAATTGATGGATACATACTAGCACCTCTAAATGAGTGTGTATCCCGGGTGGGACACTTACAAAGGTAACTGTTTACCAAAATACTTTAAAAACTGATGAAAGTGGTAAAACAGTCAAGTAGTTAAATTTACAGCAGATTCAAATAGGTTGAGTCAATCCTGAACTATGTTATCTTTTGACCAGCTTCATCTAGTTAATTGTGTGAATTATCCGACATAAATGTGCTAGTTCCAAATCAGTACGGGAACTACTGTTTTCGTACCATAATGGATAGATATTTGCCGTTAAAACAAGTTGAATTTTTAGAGTTTCAGTTTAAACCCTTTGGAATTATTATGCTTCAATTTATGGACCAAATATATACCAAGATAAAATTTCAAAAATGTATATTGCATGTATTTAAAAAGGACCTAATAACATTCATATTCGAGGAATCGGTTCAGTTCAGTCCTTTGATCGTCAAAATACATTTACAAAAAAGCTTGTGTCAGTGATAACAAAAACAAACAAACAACACAAACAAACATTATTGTTGTCTACTATACCCATGTCGAAATGTCCCCCTAGATTATTTTCATTATCTGCAATATAAAATCCCACGCCTGTCGCAAAAAGCTTTTATCATTTGCTACTATACACCTGATATTGCTCTGACCATGGTCTAAAGTATAACATACACTCCCCTCCATAAGTTTGGCAACCTAAGTTCCCTCATTGAACTACGTGTTAAAGCATCTTTACTTTTGAATTTTTATTTACATTATAACCTGTGAAGAAAATACTTATTATGTTGATGGAAATGTAACTTGACTTCATTTGCAATGCCTCCAAATTTTCCCAATTTATTTCCTCAATTACAAGGTCGAAAATTGATGATAAAGATGAAATCGTCATTTTCATGTAAACCAATGGGAAATGGTGGGTTCGGGGAAAATTTGACATAGAAAATTGAATTGTCTAACTTTTTTGTACGATATGTGTTCAGTTTACTATATGAATACTAAAGTTACAACGCTCCAAAGTCATTTTTGAAAATCATTTTTCGCCTCCTATGTTATTTCAATGGAAGTTATTTGAAAAATAATTTTGACTTTGAAGACCTATAACTTTTCCAAATCAATTTTTATTAAATAAAGTTAGCAAATTCAATTGACTACCTAACTTGTATTTTTGCAAGAACTCGGAAAGGATGCATATTCTGTAATATGACTTGTGGCAAACCTACCATTTCCCATTGGTTTACACGGAAATGTCAATTTTCAAAATTTCACCAGTTTTATCATCAATTTTCGACCTATTGTAATTGCGAAAAATTGGGAAAATTTGGAGGCATTGGAAATGAAGTCAAATTACTATTTCATCAATATTATACGTGTTTTCCTCGTAAATAAAAATTCAAACGTTAAGAGGCTTTAGCACGTAGTTCAGAGGGAGCTAAGGTTGCCAAACTTATGGAGGGGAGTGTATATATACAGGGTGTCTCAAAAAATGCACCCAAAAGTATATCAAGAGCACAGTTAAAACCAATCAATATTTTCAGACATTTTTTGCATGGTCATGTAGCCAAAACATGGAAGTTTTCTCCCCAATACACCATTTTTATTTCAGTCTTGTCTTTTTGATGCTTTAACCCTTTACCTTTTACACTACATAATCGATGTAACCTCATATTTCGATGACAGCCTGTATCCTTACTGCTACATTGTTCATCACATTTGATAATAATTCTGGTAGAATGTTTTAGATTTCTCTTTGAATGTTGGAAGTTGTTCTAGGTCTTTTTGCTTGGAACATTAAAACACTTCTTCAAATAGCCACAGAGAAAGATGTTTGAGGATGACGATGGCAGAACAAACACAGATAATCAGGTCAATTATCGTCAAATGATTCAGGAGTTACCTTCCAGAGTTAGGCAGGCTAGCCTGGAGACCAAATCATATCCAAATGAAAATACAGTGGTCTCAGATTGATACACAAACAAAAGCTACATTAGAATCCCAAGCAATGCAGTTTCTTGAACCTCTGACCTCTCTGTATAAGGGGGCTATAAAACATCGTGAGGGTCTCCCTATTCACCATATTTGACGGCCCATACTTTTTTCTCTGAGGCTATTTGAAGGACCATTTTTATGCTAAACCCAAGCTAAGAGACCTAAAACAACTTAAGACCAGCATCCGAACAGAAATCAAAACATTCCACAAGATATATCAAATGTGATGAACAATGTAGTAGTAAGGATGCTGACTGTCATCGAAATACGAGGTTACATTGACTATGTGGTGTAAAAAGTTACGGGTTAAAGTATCAAAAGGGCAAACCTGAATTAAAAACTGTGTATAGGGGAAAAACTTTCATCTTTTATCTACAAGACCATGCAAAAAATGTCTGAAAATATTGATTGGTTTGTCTATGGTGTTGATATACTTTTGGGTACATTTTTTTGAGACACCCTATATATCAACAATCATTAAAGATATAGCTAAATTTCAACTTACGTAGTCATGCAATGGTGGTTGTCTTTGAGGTGATTCTGGTTGCCTTGGGGACCACAAAATCGGCGTTTCAGTTGCTATGGCAATATCCACATCCGGTTTATAAATTGGACTGGTGGTACACAGTAATTCGTAATGTTGCGATTCCTGGCCCTGAAGCTAAAATATCTTTTGATTAGAAAGTACTTTATGTATACAAAAACATGTATAAAGTCCAGGTGTATACAAAAAATAGGAATAAAGTCCAGGTGTATAAAGTTCACACGGGTGATTCATCAAGGCAAAGACGTTTTAGCTGCTCTTTATAGTAGAGGTTGTTGACAGGTCAATTTCTTTTCAGTTGGGCTTTGCTTCAGGACCAGTTTGAGTTTTGCTTCCTGACTAGTTATAAATGTAACCTATGCATTTTCTCTTGAGTTTTGCTCCAGTACCAGTAATCGATTTAGACTGATTAAAACGTATTTTACATGGGTTCTGCTCCAAGTACATGTACTAGTAGACTGAATTTTATTTTCAATCGAGTTGTGTTCCAGTGCAAAATGTATTTTTCTTTAGTTTTGCTCAAGAATCAGTACAAGCTGTTGACTGACTAAAATGTATTTTCACTTCACTTCACTTCAATGTTCAGAATTTCCACCAGTAGTTATTACTAAAGTAGTTTGAGTGATTTTCACACGGATTTTGCTCCAGATGTATTTAGTATATAGTCGATAACTTGACTAAAATGTTTTTCCGCTTTTAGTGTACTCCAAGAACAGTAGCAGAAGACTGACTAAAATGTATTTTCATTTCACTTCAATTCAATGTTCAGAATTTCCACCAGTAGTTATTACTAAAGTTGATTGCGTAATAAAATATATCTTCACACGGATTTTGCTCCAGATGTATTTAGTATATAGTCGATAACTTGACTGAAATGTTTTTTTTTCGCTTTTAGTGTACTCCAAGAACAATAGCAGAAGACTAAGTCAAATGTACTTTCACTTCAGAACTGGGTTTCAAGCAGGGTACGTTGGGTTTGCATTAATACTACAATTAATTATTTATTTGGTGTTTCTATGAAGACAATGCGTTTTTTAGTTTTCCCAATAAATATTGTGTTATCGATGTTCCTAGGAAATCAATGCTGAGTTGCTCATATTGCTTGGAACGGATTAGAACACAAGCACGCAAGTATGATGCAGAATCTCCTAAACTGTATCAAATAAAGAGTTTGTTATCGTCAGGTAGTATGTTTTTTGCGTACTCAATTTCTATGCAATGTTTGACATACGAGGAGCGATCACAAAGTTCTCTATCTCTTTTGAACATGCCCATCAAATTAAACTACTATATGGGTGACGTTGTTCTTTGATATTAAAACCAAATTGTATATGACATGGAAACTCCGGATATGTTCATAATCAAGCGCGGGCGACACAGTTCAACGATATCTTCCATGCCACCGCTTAAAGTCCCCATATAAAGTTTAAACCACTTTGGCTAATATTGTAGTCCAATGTTATCAAAGTGTGATATGTGAAACTTTTTTTTTAAATTTCAAAAAGTGGTTTTTGATAGACTTTTTGTTCCAAAATTTGTGAATTTATTTAAAACCAACTTTTAGAGGTCACTCATATCTTCTAATTAGCCACAATTCATACCAATGCATAGCATTCATCCTCCCATGTTTTAAGCCGAAAAAATTAAGAAAATCGGTTGATAAACAAGCGAGAAATGAACTTACCAGTGCGTGAAAATGGTTCTGAGAAAAATGCATTTCAAAATTTTAGTTCTCATAGAAACCAATGGTGCAATGATATCTAAAACATAATTTATTCTTCCTTTTAATTTGGTTAGACAATCAACATTGTTTTTTATGAAAGTCTAGCACATTTAGAAAAGATTGACATCGAAAAAAAAAATTCAATTTTTTTCAAAAAGTTTTTGTTACCTTAGTGACATCACTAATGTTTCAAAATATTTTTGATAAGCTAAAACATTGGTTTAGCCCATTAAATATGACATTTTATTATTGAAATAGCGTGTCTTTTGTTCAATCTTTGCATTGGTGTTAAAAAGATAATCTTTTTTGAAATGCATTAGGAAATATTTGATGATTAAGAAATTTCAACTTTTTTGAAAAATGGCGGGAAATTTGAATATTTGAGAAAGGAAATGCTCACAACTTTTTTTGAAATTTTTTTTGTTCAAAAATCTCTAAAATCACTTTTTAAGTCCTGAATGAAAAAAAAAAATTCAAACTTTAGACGGGGACTTTAACGGCTGCCGCAACGGCCATGTTATGACAATCCTTCGTTTATGCTATCATATGATTTCCAAATTAAAACCGGTTTGCTATGAAAGTATTACAATGACAAATATATGTTTTTGAAATACAGGCGTAATGGGTAATGGATGAGATTTTATACATTTCAGATATACTCAAAAGCATAAAAAATATTAGCTCGTTAATTCACTTTTACTGCACGTTTAAAATTCGATTTGATTTCGGACAATAATCATTAATTACATAATTAGTGTACTCGACTTAAACAACAAACAAAAATGGCGCGAATCAATGTGTTAGTGCTCTAGACAGTTTCCTGTTTATGTATTGAAGTATAATGGCAATGACGACAAGATCAAAGATCAAGATCAAAACAGGTGCAGATTAAAATATATAGCAGTAAGTAACGAATATTTTTTATTTTTTAAAATGAATTTGCTAAACGAAAACACAGAACTCGGCGTTTAATAAAGGGGTATTTAAACGTTCAGTGGTCCTTTGGAGGGCTCTGAATGAGGGGGTACAGTGTAGGTGGGGCTATCAGACATTAAAGTAAGAGTCTAACATTTTGACCATCCCAGTTTTTGCAAGGGCCATTATGAGGTGGGTGCTCAATCAAAGATAATTAATCTTAATTCCAAATAATCACACCCCTTATGCATACAACAAGTGTTTGATGCTCATTTCTTAATGTTGTCTTGCGAAGTCCAATGGGGATTTAGAGTCTGGTATTTTTTGGCACATCTTCTGTTTAGGTTGTCTGTATCCTTGTAGAATTGTAGAATACAAATTGGTGTTACAGCAATATTAAAACGATTGAAAATCACTGTTCAGATATCTCACTTTAGGATATATGCTCACACATGTTATATTTGTTCTTAGCAGCCGACATAACCGTGCCTTAATAAATTCTAAATTCTATAATGATCTCGGTGTAAAAGGGTAGGTGGTCCAATCAAATTTTTGGTCCTACTCTCTATTGATTTATACACAGTCAGGGCCAGTAAGGGCCGTAAGGAAAGGGGACCATAATCCCCAGGGGATCATTTGTGACCACTTAGTGTTTCCTTCTAAAATCATGTACTTTTGTGGATAACTATACTCATTGTTATCAATTGAAGCACCATACAATTACTCAATTAGTTGATTTTAAAGGCTGCATGAAGCCTGACTTTGATTTCATTGGATTCCAAATCACAAAAAGCAATAAAAGAAGATCTCCAAACACTAACATTAAAAAGGCGATATAACAACAGCAATCAATACAAAGTCAGTAAGAAATATATTAAAGGCAATGTGTTAGCGATAATAATCAAAATGTTATTTTTACCTTGTTTAGTTGAAAAGTATTCCTTTGAGCTTTTCTTGCAATGAACCTTGCGAAATCCTGACAGTAATTAAATAGTATGATAGCAGACGTAATCATTCCACTTCCGGTTCGTCACTTCCGGCGTTAATTACCCGCATCCAAATCTTTAATTCATCTGCTTGTCATCCCCTAAATTGTATGCAAAGAATCTATAATAAGTACAGTTTGGAGCACATCGATAAGAAATGGATCTCATTAAAGCTATTCCTTATTCATTTACACGAGCCAAATCTTGGGGCTGTGCGACAAACTGACATTTGAGTTAAAAAAACGATTACATAACCATTGTTGACTACTTAATGTACCTGTATCGAACGAAACTTATTAACTAATTCTCGAGTCCTATTTAAATCTCTCTTCATTAATTCATATTAAAATGCAGGTACCTAACAGGGTACTAAACACTTGGACGTTATGATAAATGTTTTTAAATTGCATTCTCCAAATAGTTCAAAAATAACATCCAAGTGATAACAAGTGAACACTGAGAATTTTATAACAACTCTGCGAAGGAGTGTACACTTTTGTGATCAAGAACCTTTAAATTAGGGCATGTGACCTTATGGGTACAGCGTTATTATTTGTCTAGTCCTTTTAGCAATCAACACTTGTAATAAATCACAACATACCTTTAAAGAATTTAAAAGTGGTTGGAGGGTAGCTGACCTTTGGATCTGTGAACGAAATTTAGTATAGAAAGTGTCAAACAAAGTATAAAATTTTGGAAGTTTTTGTATAATCCTACTTCTTTAAGATATTCCATCGCAAATTATGTCTAAATTCACTGTAAAATTTTTAAAGGGGTGTATGTTTTAACTTTTGATAGATGACCTAAAAACTCGAAGGGTTATGAAGTTATCCGTAAACGAAATCAGAACTATACATGTATAATGGAGATTCTAAAAAACAAGCATGACGTGGTATGAGAACAAAATAATCGCAGTCTCAACTCGTCTCTGTTCATTAAATAGTCATTTCAATTAACCATTGATTCATCTCGTCAT